GGCTTGAGGGCAGGAGGGAAATGGCGTAAAACCCGGGCGGCGGAGCTTGCAGGTGAGGCTGAAGATTCGGCCACTGGCACTCCAGCCTGGGGCGACAGAGCCGGAGGACTCTTGTCTTCAAAAAAAAAAAAAAAACAAAAAACGCATCTCAAAAAAAAAAAAAATTAAAAGAAAGAAAAATTAGTTTACCTTGAGGGGCGGAACCAGTTCCCGCCATGGGGCCAACCCAAGATCTTTTCCAACGTTCAATAAACCGCCCGAGCCACACCATTAGGAGGAATTGACGGATTAGTTTTGCCTTAAGGATCGATTACTAGAAATTTCTTTTGCCGTTCCAACCCCCACCAGGTAAAGCTAAGGGATAGAAAAGAATAATGGAAGGCTGGGCCGGTGCTCAAAAGCTGGTTAAATTCCCAGCACTTGTTTGGGTTGCCGAGGGACGGAGGCGGATCACGAGGTCAAGGGGATGGGAACCATTTCCTGGGCAAACCAACGGTGTGGAAACCCCGGTTCCTCTACCTAAAAAAATACCAAAAAAACTAGGGCCGGCGACGGGCGGGGCCGGCTGTAAAGTCCCAAGCTACTCGAGCTGGAGGCGGAGGAATGGAGTAAAAAACCCCGGGGGGCGGAGAAGGCTTGCAGTGAGCTTGAGATCCGGCCCCCAGGGCACTCCCAGGCCCGGGCGACAGGGCCAGGGACTCTGTTCTCAAAAAAAAACAAAAAAAAAAAAAAAAAAAAAAAAAAAGAAAAGTAAAAGGGTAAATGCAGAAGAGGGCAGCCAAACGGGAAATCAGAGATTAGAAGCAAGAGAGGCATTGTTGGCTTGAAGAGGGAGAGAGGGCCAATCCATGAGGAATGTTGGTGACGTCCGAAAGTTAAGAGTGCCCCTCAGCTGCCATCCAGCAAGAAAACAAGGACTTCAGACTTGCAGCTACTAGGACCTGGATTCTGCCAATAATCGGAAAGATTGTGGATGCATGCAATAGCCCCGACACCATGATTTTGGCTTTGAGAGACCCTGAGCAGAGAACCCTAAGCTAAGACCATGTGCACTTGTGACCTACAGAACTCTGAGATCATAAATGGGTATTGTTTTTAGCTGCTAAGTTTATGGCAATTTGTTGTGCAGCCCAAGAAAATGGATACATCTTGGTAATTTGTTGGATTCCATAGCTTTTCTTTGTTGTGGTTCCTAAATCCACTGAGTTTACAAGCTGTGTGGCCTTAGGTGTCTTACGTGTCCTTGAGCCTATAAAACTTGCCTCACTGAGTTTTTATGAAGATTAAATGAGATCCACATCAAGTGTTTACTGCAGAACCCCGCACTCAGCAGGATCTCAATCAAGCTCCCTCTCTGCTTGAATATTTACGTAGTCCCCAATATCCACCTAAATACAGAGCTCCTGCACATTTTTGCAGTTCCAGGCACACCATACGTGCTCCCAAATGGATTCTATACACAAATAGTCTTTTTAAGCTCAAATTCATCCAATATTTGCATTGGGAAATGAACATATGAAAAAGATGGATACAGAATTGTGTTTGTCCTCAAACTGCCCAGAAGTCTGTAGGACAGAATTACGTAAACAAAGAAGTGTAATGCAATGTCTTCTACACTAGTACATACCAACTGCTGAGGCCACAGCACCTTTCCACTGTGTCCAGAAAGTGGAGTGACTTACTCAAGTAGACATGAGAAGCGAAAGCACGGAGGTGGCACTGAGTCTGCAGTGATTAGGGGCTGGAAGGACTCTGATCCGGAGGGGAACCAAGGGCGCCTGAGGTATGATGGAAGGTGGAACTGAGACCTTAGGCTGAGGATGGACTGCACTCCATGCCAGCCTCCATGCTAACGGGCTTGTGCTTCATGCTTTTGGCTCTGGGGAGCTCTCAGGTTTTCTGGCGGTACAGTAACCTGATCAAATCTGTGTGCTAAAAAGGAAACACTGGTTGTGATGGAGGTACTGTGTAGGATGCATTGCAGGGGAAGAGATGAGTGGAACAGAAGCAGGAGGCTAGTGTAGTGATAGGCTTTAACTTACAAGGAAAATACACAAAAATCTACTAAGACTCTTCATAGTGAGGTCCTGACATTCTAGTATCTTAGTTTAATATCACTTATAAAATAAATATCTGCCGTGATGGACAGCAAAACAAGGACTTCTTGTACAAGTGGGGCATGGTGTGGGTTAGCTGCTGTCCAAGCTGGCTAGAACACAAAGGGTGGAAGCAGAGGGCCATGGCCTGAGCCCCCCGAATTAAAAGCTATGGTCTGGATTGTGGCAGAAACGTGGGGCTGGAACAGCACCTTCCCAGGCTGGCTTGAGTGGGTGGGAGTGGACTCCCTTCTAACTGGGAAACTAATTCTCATGCCTGAGAGGAAGGAGGAAAAGACATTTCGTTCTGAATTAACACTCGGAACTCTTTTTCTCATAGAAATGATGTTATAAATAGTGGTTGGCTACAAGACTGGCTTCTCTGATGAGCAGCAAGGTGCCTGAAATCCAGTCCATTTTTAACTGTTAATTTTATCTTCTGGATATTTCACTAACAACCAGACTTATGCAATATGACCTTTTTGTAAAGTGGAAATTGATTATCTGTGGTTGAGAGTTTATAATCATGTTGGTTCATCAGGTAATAAGTTTAGGATTGCATTGAGAATTTAACGTGTTGCTGTAAGGAACTAGACCAGAAGACATCACCCAGCATACTGACTTGGAAACACTCCTATTTTATAATGAACCACAGCTGTGTTTTCATTTTTATTTTTTAATCAGAATAAACTTTATTTGTGGATTCAAGATTTTAAAAAGTGATTTTATACTTTAAAGTGTGCAATAAATTTCGATACATCAATCTTGATACATATATTTACCATATCAGAAGATTTTAAAAAGTCAAACAGTTTGTAACCAAAATGAATTGTGTTTAACTTGATACTTATATGGAATAACTTCAGTATTATAAATAAAAACCTAACACAAACACCATTTAAATTTGAGTTCTGATGAAATGTATTTGTAATACAATTTTATGTTACAATTTTTTAATTAGAGATTGTAGGTTAAAGTTATATGCTTATAATTTCTAGAAACACATGATGTCCTTGCTTTATGAAAATGATCCTACTGACTGTCCAGCAGTAGAATGCATTTGAGACACTTTTCTATATGGGATAAGGGCCTGTGTTGCTTGATACACATTCCTTCTGGACCATGAGCCCCCAGTGGGAGAGGAAGGGGATGAAGGTCTGCAGCTGGGGACTGGTGGCAGTGAGTCTGGTCTCATTAACACCGTGTTCTATGAGTCACAGAATCATCCAAATGAGTATCAGCCAGATAAAAAGAAAGCTTTGTATTTCTCATGCTTAGATACTTCACAAACATAATATTTAAATAATTGCAGCAAAATCCTTTTTAAACAAAAATAATTTTCACATTCCATTCTACATAATGAGGACATTTCCAAAATGCATTGGCCCACATTACTATTACTTTGCTGATATGAAGAAAATGAATTATGATGGTAAGATCCATATACAGATATACACATGTGTATCTATATTTATTTATATATTTAATATCAGATATGCTCCTACTTCCTTGTCTCTTAGAAGTCACTTTACTTTTAAATGATTCTTTGGGAGTGTGGTCAATTTGCACACCTGACTTGACACAATCTGACGGTCAGCACAAAGCACCTTCTGATTGTATAACACTTTACAAAGTACTTTTTGCTTTCTCATCTGTCTGGAACTTATGACAATCTGGCATGACATTGAGGGTGGGCATGATTATTCTCATTTGACAGACGAAGAAATATGAATCCAGAGAGGTTAAGTAAGCTGCTTCAGTTCACATGGCTGGTGAGAGATCAAACCAGGACTATACCTGGCGCTCATCCTTGACTGCTGGTTGACAATGGTGAAGACAAAACGCAGGGTACGTTAATCTGTGAATTGCTTCCCCTAAACCATGCTGATGATGTGGTGTTTGGAAAGCAGAAAGTGGTTTTGCTACTGTCGTATTTCAGATTTCTATCAGGTGCTAATGAGTACTCATCATGTTATACCCCAACAAACTTAAACCAAGAACCAAGGTACTTTTTACAGTTCTCACAGGGTGTATATATATATTTAAGAAGATTCACAACATATATTTACAATTATTCCTAAATCACCAAGATACCATACTGAGAAATGGGTTTAATCTTTTTAAGAGCATTTTCTATATAATCATTCCAATGTAAGGATGAAACAATGTAAGTATGAAATATAAATACAGTCTTGGCATACTTTATCTTTGCAGGTGTGCTGGAACCTAGAACACTTTCCCTTTTGCCTTATTCTGCTTACCCCTACTTTTGATTGTTTTACAAATTCATCGACACATTTGCAAATTCCTTGAGGATCAGGACTCAGCTTCTCTGAAGCTGACAACTCTTACCCCAGAGCACAGCACAGCGCTATGCACGCAGCATTCAATAAATATTTGATGAACACATGTACATGGTCTTTACGTACTTGAGTTTGGTTAAAGGAAGATGCGAACTGTAGCATTTTGCCAAGAGAGTTCTGGATTTGTAATAAAAACATTGTCTTCATAGTAAACAGTATTTTTAAAAGCCATAAGAAATAGTAATACATTTAATACAAATTATGCATTATAACAACTCTTTGGTTACTTTAAACAAATCATTTGGTTTTTTTTTTTACTAGAGTGATACTAAAAATATAAAAATGCGACTACAGAAATTAGCTTAATCTGTAAACATAATAAACCCTGTAAACATACATTTACTACATAATTGTACAAGCGTAAAGAATGTCTAGTAAAGGCAAGTGCTATCCACTTCATTTAGTTCTTCAAGGCATACTTAGAAATACTGCTCTGTGGATCTTTAATGTTTGAAGAAGGAATTCTTCTAACTACACTGAAATGAAAAATTGATGACTATGCCAATGGTCAAGAGGATATGCAGGCAAGAGAAAAAGGCTTTAATACTTTTTTTACCCATTGCAAATATGGATTTGCTTCACATGTCTTATGAACCACCTGTTTAGTAAAAACTGCATATTAACAAAAGCCAAATACTTTGAAAGTGAAGAAGTAAACAGTTTTTCTGTGAGTTGGCTGGAAATATAGGTAACACACTTTCCAAGGTTTTTTTCCAAAAATCTAGGCAGTAAGGTGCGTAAGGCAGGTGTACAAAATAATAAATAGCTGCGAGTAGCACTAAATATATTGTAGTTTACTCAATAGTAAAGTATTTCTTTTTTCAAATTTCAGTTTTCCATCTCAAAATGCATCAAACTTTTCACACATGACACTTATCACAAATATTTCACAGTTATCATCTCAGTAGTTTAAGAAAAAACTGCCTGGCAGATACTATACAAGAGGTAAATGTTAAGGACAAAATTCACTATTTAAGTCATACAGGACTTATATCCTACTGCGTGAACTTTAAAGCCAGGCGTGGTGGTACCTGGCTTTAGGCAGGCACCTAACTCTAAGGACAGAATGAAACAACTGTGTAAATGCAACACATTATTTAAAAGTGATTGAAAATAAGTTGTCATACTATTTCTTCAAATGCTTTTTATATGATTTTCTTCAAGATCTGGGAAGAATCAGTGGCCACGTTTTAGTAGTTCCCTGGAAAATTTTAAGTCAAGATTTTGGTTATAAAACTATGGCAGTGAAAACACTATAGATTGTTATTTGTGATCTAATCAACTCCATCAAAGCCCTGTGTGTTTTCAATTGCCATCTGAAGTTTATCCCATAATTCTTCAAATGATTCATAAGGTGGCAGGTCCAGGCGATTAAAACTGGAAGAAGAGAGAGGAACTGGTTATGAAAGACACTGAAAAAGCAGGTACCACTGAAAGACATTGAAATAGCGGCAAACAGAGCAACGCTGCTATTCATGACGAGGATGTGCCACCACCACCAAAATACGTCTTTTCACCAGGGGTAGAAGTAAGATGTAGGACTGGGTTCTGGACATGGATACTCTGCATGACTCCTTGTGGAGTCCTGCCCCCACCACATCTTCCAAATGTCTGAGTTCCTCTTTCATTTCAACCTCCAAAATGGAACGTTCTAGCCCCTCTTGGGATAGCCCATCATTCAGCACTCAGTTTAGATGGATCTCTCTGATCTTCAGCTACCTGGACTTCAAGCCCGGGCTGACTTGGTAACAAAACACACATTCGTTGGGTTAGTGTCACCAACTCCTCCTTACCCCTAATCCATACCTGCCACCGACATAACACAGAGGAGACTAGCCCTGCTGTAGCTAGACTAACAGTCAGAGGAACCTCACTCTCTGAGGCTTCGTTCTATCAAGGTCCAAACAACTGCTTACCAGGTATGAGCTCTTGGCAGCTTTTCAGGAGTACCCCACTGTTCAACTGTAAATGACTGTGGTCCGTTTGAACCTATAAGGAAGAATTCATTTGGTTTCATTTACTCTCTACAGGGATCTTCAGGCATATCGAAACTTTTTCTAGTGTAGAACCTACACACACAGGGAACTAATCTGGTTTATTTATTTATTTATTTTTGAGATGGAGTCTTGCTCTGTCTCCCAGGCTGGAGTGCAGTGGCCGGATCTCAGCTCACTGCAAGCTCCACCTCCCGGGTTTACGCCATTCTCCTGCCTCAGCCTCCCCAGTAGCTGGAACTACAGGCGCCCGCCACCTCGCCCGGCTAGTTTTTTGTATTTTTTAGTAGAGACGGGGTTTCACCGTGTTCGCCAGGATGGTCTCGATCTCCTGACCTCGTGATCCGCCCGTCTCGGCCTCCCAAAGTGCTGGGATTACAGGCTTGAGCCACCGCGCCCGGCCATCTGGTTTATTTATTTATTTATATTTTAGAGATGGGGTATCCCTCTGTCACCCAGGCTGGAGTGCAAGGGTATGATTCAAGCTCACTATAGCCTCAAGCTCCTGCGCTCAAGTGATCCTTTTGCTTTAGCCTCCTGAGTAGCCAGGACTACAGGTGTGCACCACCATGCCTGGCTAACTTTTTAAAAAATTCACTTTGTAGAGATGGGGGTCTCACTATGTTGCCCAGGCTGGTCTTGAACTCCTGGCCACAAGCCATTCACTCTGTCACCCAGGCTGAAGTACAATGGCATGATCTCGGCTCACTGCAACCTCCGCCTCCTAGGTGCAAATGATTCTTGTGCCTCAGCCTCCCAAGTAGCTGGGATTCCAGGTGCGTGCCACCACACCCAGCTAATTTTTGTATTTTTAGTAGACACGGGGTTTCACCATGTTGGCCAGGCTGGTCTTGAACGCCTGACCTCAGGTGATCTGCCTGCTTCAGCCTCCCAAAATGTTGGGATTACAGGCATGAGCTACTGCACCTAGCCAACTTAACATACTTTTTATTGGCTATCTAATATTGTAATTTTAACATTTTGAAACAACTTATTTCTATAAATACATAAGAATTTGACTTTATATTCTAACACAAACAACTCTGGCTCTATGTGTGGCATATCTGCCCCAAATTTCAAACAGTGCATGAAATCAGTGGATGGTTATAGGGCTGGGTTACATAAAAGAGGGAAGAGAGGCCAGAGATGGAAAGGGGCATTTGTTTGCCCTGCCTTTATTTTTCACTACCAACTGGTTAAGGCAGAGAAGAGAGAGGAAGGGCAATCAGGTGAAACCACGAAAAAGAAAGAGGCTATGAAGTCCAATTAGGCAAAGAATGACTGAATTGGTCAGTGACAAAGCTAACCACTTTTGAGTGGTTACTCTAGGTAGAGAAGTAGCAGCTGCTTGATCAGTTCTGCAAACACACATTAATGAGGCTTGGCAAGCTGACCAGATTTGCCATGAAGAAAGGGTTTAGCTATCCCATCAGATGGTCAGCTTCTATTTGCACAACAAATTCAGCTTAGCGATTTCCTAGGCAGCAGTGCCGACTACTAATCCCCAGGACAATCCTAATCTTACTCGTTGTTCTGAGTAGGGCTCCCACTTCAGCTACATCCTTTCTAAAAGATTTATTCTTGGATTCTTGGTATCCTTAAAAGCAAGTAAATATCATTCCAATAAACAGAATATGAATCAATGTGAGAAAAGTTGCTGCAATCTACATCAGAAACGGCACTTTTAAACAAAACACACCTCCAGTTTTGTACATCAACTGAAAAACAATTTGATAGAATACACAGAATCTTACTTTACTGAAAACTGCATTAACTATTCTAAAAATCAAGAAATATGGGCACTCTTCTCCCCAGTCCCGGTGCTCCCCCCAGGAAATGAAAAATAGTAGCCTAATGAGATTCTCTACCCCTATCTTGAAAGGCAAAAAAAAAAAAAAAAAAAAAAAGATTTCATGATCAAATAAGTTTGGGAAACAACGCTTTTGTTTTCTTCTAACAGTAAAGGTTCTACACAAGTCCTGAAGAAATCCATTTAACTTTGTTTAGTCCAGCATTTCCCTAAAGGTATTCAACTTGAATACACTTAGTGACATTCTGTGAAACTTCAAATGCTATCCTGAACTATCACATGAGAAGTAATGCTTTTTCTTTTTTTTTGAGACAGGGTCTCAGTCTGTCACCCAGGCTGAACTACAGTGGTGCAATCTCGGCTCACTGCAACCTCCGCCTCCCGGGTTCAAGCAATTCTCCTGCCTCAGCCTCCTGAGTAGCTGGGACTACAGGCGCACACCACCAAGCTCAGCTAATATTTGTATTTTTGGGTAGAGACGGGGTTTCACTGTGTTGGCCAGGCTCGTCTTGAACTCCTGACCTCAAGTGATCTGCCTGCCTCGGCCTCCCAAAGTGCTAGGATTACAGGTGTGAGCCACCCCTCCCAGCCAAGGTAATGCTTTTTCTGTAACTGACGCACACGGGGCATAGAATCTGAAGTTAAAGAAGGGAAAGTGACTCAAGTCATTTGATGTTTCCAGTTTTCCCCTTTATTATCTGATTCGAAGGTGTAAATATATTTTAGCCTACTCCAGTGTCTCTAATGATATCACTTTCAAAATCTTAATTCTTTTTAAAATTAAGCTAAATGTTAGTAAATGATGGAAGTGTGAGGATTCATCAGCCATGAAAAAGACAATAGGCATCACTCCATTTTTTTTAATGATCTATGGAAAATCCTTACCATATAGTTCAGCAAATCCATTCATAGGCACCCGAGATGTGCCAGTGACAAACTGAAGTAATCTTATTCTTTTTTCTGAATCCATCATTAAAACAGCCTGAATAAGATAAAAACATCATTTAGGGAACAGCACTGGGAAAAAGGTAAACAAATTATCCTGAAACATAAGCTATCAGAATTTAGCTAGAATATTAACAATCTCTTACTAGATGTGGATGTTTCTTTTAGTTAAATTTTTACTTATGGGTGGGTTATAAAGTTCTTGAAAACTTTATTTGTAAGGCTACATGGCAACTTTTTAGAATGGGATTATAACCTAATGAATAACAAAATTTCTCTTGAGATATGACTCATGACTTTTAAAACTTATATGCTGGGCGCAGTGGCTCATGCCTATAATCCCAGCACTTTGGGAGGCTGAGGTGGGCGGATCACTTGAGGTCAGGAGTTTGAGACCAGCCTGGCCAATATGGTGAAACCCGTCTCTACTAAAAATACAAAAAAATTAACCAGGCATGGTGGTGCATGCTTGTAATCCCAGCTACTCGGGAAGCTGAGGCAAAAGAATTGCTTGAACATGGGAGGCGGAGGTGGCAGTGAGCTGAGATAGCACCATTGCACTCCAGCCTGGGAGACAGAGCGAGACTCCATCTCAAAAAACACATTATATTAATATTATTGAATGGCATACACATTTCTCTATGAGACATTTTAAAAGAGCCACTCAGGAGTCCCTAGGAATACCCTGTAGGTTATTACAAGTTCTTTCAGAGTCCCTACTTTAGTAGAAAACTAAGTGCCTGTCTCAGCCTGTCATTCCACTTACTACCTTCTGAACATTTTACTTACCTAGTAATAGTTATAGACCCAGAAGGTGCATGTATACGGTACAAAATCAAAGATCATTTTTGCTGGTCTGTATATTTTTCTGTGTCAGTTAAATGTAATCCACCAGTATAGTTAATCAAGAGTTGACTTAAATATGATTCAATCTATCAAAAAGTAATTTACGAAAATAGAAGTTTCAAATTACCTTCCAAAACCACTGTATAACCTGATGATTTGCACTGTAGCCATTTTTATACTTTGTATGTTCCCTCCAGTCATTCACATCGACATCTCCCAGTCCACACATAAGAAGCTACGTAAGAAATGTCAAATTATAAACAAGGAAAATAATGGGTTCAAAATTTCTGTTTCAACATAAAATGTTATGTCTTACCTCTAGTTCATTTTCATCAAAAATTTTGATGAGATCCTGTGGTATTAGTTCAAAGAATCCCTAGAAAAAAGATGTATTTAAAAACCTGATGGGCAGGGCCAATGGCCTTTCCTATGCTTCAGCTTCCGGGTGCCACTGGAGGAATCCCACAGACACACAAGTTTCTACCGCTACACAATCACGGGCTCTTCACTGAGATCTCAATATTGGCCAGAAAATGTACATGTGCACAGTCTGTTCTCTCATTTATTCCTCAAAGTGGCTATTTTTAAAACTTCCTGTGGCCAGGCGCGGTGGCTCATGCCTGTAATCCCAGCACTTTGGGAGGCTAAGGTGGACGGACTGCTTGACTCAAGGAATTTGAGACTAGCCTGGGAAACATGGTGAAACACCGTCTCCACAAAAAAATACAAAAATTAGCCAGGCATGGTAGTGTGAACCTGTAGTCCCAGCTACTGGGGAGGCTGAGGGATTCCAGCCTCGGCGACAAAGTGAGATCCTGTCTCAAAACAACAAGAACAACAACAAAAAACAAATTTGCCATCCTTCTCAAGCCTCCACATCACCCCTTCTTTACCGTAGGTAAGTGTAAGTTCTATTTGAGGGAAAACAGAGGCAATTATGCATGATGGAACTCCCTCAAGCTTCTGCATCCCTGTGTCCCAACCATCACCAACACCCGTCATGGCCTCCTTCCCGCCGTGGTGGAAGACAGAAGTGCCACCTCTTCTTTCAGGCTAGGCCTGCACCTGTGCTTCACCTGCTCCTCAGGGAGGTCATCTCACTAGATCTCTTTCTCTTTATTGGCTCACTCTGTATGCATTTAAATGTGCTCAAGTCATATCTACCTTTAAAGCAAACAAACAAACAAACAAAAAAACAAAAACAAAACTAATGACCCTCTTTTTCCCTTCACAGGCAAGTTCTTGACAGTGTTATGCACTTAGCATATCCATTCACTTACCTCCCATCTAACACTCAACCCACTGCAATCGGACTTCTACACTACAGCTTCCTTGAAATTGTTCTGGAAAAAGTCAAAGACGGCTTTGCAGCTATATCTAATAAACACATTCAATTCCTTATCATATTTGACTTCTTCGCAGTATGATATGATTAAAACCATCTTTGCTATTGAAACTCTCTCTGCTCTTGGTATCTTTCTGTCTGCCTTTGTTATTTTCCTTATTTCCTTTACAGTCTCCTGTTTTTTGTTTTTTTTTTTCTTTTTTCTCCCATGCCCTAACCTGTCCATTCATAAACCATCCATTCAAAACAACAGTTAAGATGCTGGTGTTCCCAGTTCACTCTCCACATGTCAGGCCATCCACTTTCACTGCCCTTTCACATTTTCCATCGTATTGAGTTCGCAGCTTCACTACACGTAGGCAAATGAGCCCCAAATCCATACATCTCTATCCTTGAAGTCTCCCTTTCTGAATGCCATTCAAATGCACATGAAGCTCTGACCACCACCACTATCTTCATTCCCTTCCCACTCCTGTCTCAACTCCCTCACCATTCCCTTAATTCCTTACCATTTCTCACCAAGATTATGTAGCCCTTTCCCAACTCTGCTGAGAAGTCTCTGCTGCTAGTCTTGCTCTCCTCTAACTCGCTCTACATGGCACTTCCAGAATGATCTAAAACATAAATTGAATCTTGGTGTCTTACTGGTTAATAGCCTTTAATGCTACCTTCCTTCCCCCTCACTGAAATTCAGAGAAAACTCCAAACTCTACCGCTTCACACACAGGCCCTGTATAAGTTGGTCTGTTAGCTCTGCAGGCTGACTGTTTCCCTCTTGCATTCTCTCACCCAGCATACTCAACTGCCTGTGGGTACAGCCTACCTTACTGCCAGACTTCACATACGCTGCTCCTGCTGCCTAGAACTGCATTTCCCTCTTCTCCATGGTTGGCCAATCCCTCTAGTCCTTCTTTGTCCCTTCCTTTGCCCCTCCCTGGTTTGCACTCTTCTCTGCTCACCTAGCACTTTATGCTTGCCTCTGTTCATTTCTCTCTTTACATCATACATCCCTTAAGAGCAGGACTTATGTCTTTTGGCCTGGTACAGCACCATACACATAGTACTCAATACGGAATTTATGAAAAAGTATGTGATACACACACACACACACACTTTAGAGACAAGGTTTCACTCTGTAGCCTAGACTGGAGTGCAGTGGTGCCATCATAGCTCATAGCTCACTGCCGCCTCGACTTCCAAGGCTCAAGTGATTCTCTAGCCTCAGCCTCCCAAGTAGCTGTGACCATATGCACATGCCATGACACCAAGCTCTTTTTTTTTTTTTTTTTAGACGAAGTCTCGCTCCATTGCCCAGGCTGGAGTGCAGTGGCGTGATCTCAGCTCAGTGCAACCTCTGCCTCTCGGGTTCAAGCAATTCCCCTGCCTCAGCCTCCCGAGTAGCTGGGACTGCGGGTGCACGCCACCACGTCCGACTAATTTCTTTGTATTTTTAGTAGAGATGGGATTTCACCATGTTGGCCAGACTGGTCTCAAACTTCTGACTTCAGGCAATCCACCAGCCTCGGCCTCCCAAAGTGCTGGGATTACAGGCATGAGCCACTGTGCCCAGCCTAATTTTTAATTTTTTATAGAGATAAGGTCTCCCTATATTGTCCATGCTGATCTCAAACTCTGGGCTCAAGCAGTCCTCCCGCCTCATCCTCCTCAAGTGTTGGGATTATAGGCATAAACCACCACGCCCAGCCAGATACTTATTTAACAGAAGATTGTAAATTATCTTAAGAAATGAGTGCTCTGACAATCTGTCTACCAATTGGGGAAATTTTAAGTAACTTACTAATTTATATTCTGAATAAAATATAGCCACAAAGAAAGGCAGCTATATGTTTTCACATGTAAATATCCCCAATAAATATCTGATAAAAGAAGAAAGTAGGCTGAGTGCGGTGGCTTATGCCTATAATCCCAGCACTTTGGGAGGCCAAGGCGGGTGGATCACTTGAGGTCCAGAGTTCGAGATCAGTTTGACCAACATGGTGAAACCCTGTGTGTACTAAAAATACAAAAATTAGCTGGGCGTGGTGGCGGGCACCTGTAATCCCAGCTACTCGGGAGGCTGAGGCAGGAGAATCGCTTGAAGCTGGGAGGTACAGGTTGCAGTGAGCCGAGATCAGGCCGCTGCATTTCAATCTGGGTGACAGAGTGAGACTCTGTCTCAAAAAAAAAAAAGAAGAAAGTAAGTCACAAAACAAAATGTCTAAGGTGATCCTATTTAGAAAAACAGACAATATGTTATACTACGCCTAAAGCACTCTTGTTCTTTTGCTGTCCTAAGGTGAAGGGAATGAAATAGGGAAAAGGCTTGGGGGAAAGGGGACCTATCAATGTTTATTGTCTAGACTTCTTGAATGACTGAATGAAATATTTAGTTAATATAAAAATATAATTTAGAATGATTTCACAAAACAAGCCATACACTTATTTTTCTCAGATATGATGAGGCCCAACATTTGAAACTTATGGGTGCAGCACACCAACATGGCACATGTATACACATGTAACAAACCTGCACATTGTGCACATGTACCCTGGAACTTAAAGTATAATAATTAAAAAAAAGAAACTTATGGGTTATACTATGAAATTACGAAAGAGCAAATAAAAGAAAACGAATACCTCTTTAAAAGCAGCCATTTGCTTCTGGATTCGGTTTACAAATCGCCATTGTATTACAAGACTAAAAAGAAACAACATTTCATTTTCATGTGAACCAAGACAAAATTCTGAGTCACAATTATTCTAGTTAGAAACAAAAACTAAAGGCTAGCTGAGCCCAATGCAAAGGCTGAATATGAGTGCTCGCTACTGCACTGTGATAGAGAAAAAGAACACTGAGATTCTGGCCAAGGGGACAGAAAAAGATGGTAAGCGGAGTCTTTTTGGAGTAAAGTACAAAATTATGTCCCATAAAATAATTATTAACAAAATACTTACTAAATATATTCCTTTTTGTTCTTATTGGTGACAACTATTTCTGATCCACCATTTTTCAGCTCATGTTGGTGTGTCTAAAATTAAACACAATAACTTGATATATGTTATTTTACTGAGAAAAATTTAAAAAGTATACATATTGTAGTTATACAAGAAACCTGGTGTTTTAAATTAAGTCCAGTCACAAGTTAAAAGCTAAGAAAACTTAAAATATTAGTTTTACTAAAATAAATATGGAATGAGTCAAATGTTAAAGAAAGTACAAATTTTTGCTTTTGTTGAGAGACAGCTTTTGTTACTGGAAAACAAATGTAAAAACAGAGCCTAGGAATGTATTCAGTGTACGTATTAACATCTAAACATTTGTTTCACAATTTATGTGCCATTTTAACTGATCAAAATTCACAAACCTGTCCGAAAAGTTCTTCGTCTATGATAAACCTGAGGTCCAATTCTGTTGGGTCATTTTCAAGAATCCATCTTAGGGAATTGTAATATTCACTATCCTAGATGGGAAAAATTACGTATTTAAAATTTGTACATATAACACACCTGAAATTGCAAAAAAACAATATGTAGAGGGGCTGAGTAATTGGGTAAAAGATGAGAGGTCAAATGGACATCCTTTACTTACACACATAAACAAAAATGTATGTGTGTATGTGTGTGTATTACAAAAAGAGATGAATGACAGGTAAGGGCAAGAGTAAAAATGCACCAGTCAATCAATCAATCAAGTGGTGCCTACTTAAAAGTTCAGAATCTATGTTTATGTGGAAGCAGTGGAGGTACAGATTGTATCATCCAGTTAAAGGAATGAATACAGAAGTTTTCAGATAAAACCTAACTTTTGGCTTTGGATATCCAGGAGCACTTAGCACATTCCTCATATGCCTACGTGACTATAATGTTTTATTTTTATGTTTTAATTTAATTTTTTTTTTTTTTTTTGAGACAGGGTCTTGCTCTGTCCCTCAGGTTGGAATGCAGTGGGGTGATTGTGGCTCACTGCAGCCTCGACCTCCTTGGCTCAAGTGATTGTCCTACTTCAGCCTCCTGAGTAGCTGGGACTACAGGCATGCACCACGACACCCGGCTAATTTTTGTATTTTTTGTAGAGACAGGCTATCACCATGTTGGCCAGGCTGGTCTCAAACTCTTGACCTCAAGTTTCACATGCCTCAGCGTCCCAAAGTGCTGGGATTACAGTTGCGCACCCCTGTGTCCGGCACTGTGTGTGAAATGTTTAAGTAGCTATGAGGAGGCCATTGTTTATACCCAGCCCGAGTTAAAGAAAAATCTCTAAATAAATATAGAGGCTCAATGGACCAACTCAAATAACTGTGCAATCTTACGATTTACAAAGAAGCACACTGTTTGTGCTGTTAATATGTAATAAGAAAATAAAAAATGAACTTGGTACTAAGGAAGATGTCCTAGAATTCATGTGTACACACATTGTGTGAGGCTATTCAGCAGCACAGGAAACAACATGGCTACAGTCAGGGGTTTAATCCTTGGGCTTCTGTTTTTTTCTAGAAGCCTAACCATAATGCTTTGCCTTTCGACTGCCATTTAAAAAATATACACCATATGGTCGGGCGCAGTGGCTCACGCCTGTAATCCCAGCACTTTGGGAGGCCAAGGCGGGTGGATCATGGGGTCAAAAGATGGAGACCATCCTGGCGAACACGAAACCCCATCTCTACTAAAAATACAAAAATTAGCTGGGCGAGGTGGCACGCACCCATAGTCCCAGCTACTCGGGAGGCTGAGGCAGAGAATTGCCTGAACCTGGGAAGCGGAGGTTGCAGTGAGCCGAGATCACGCCACTGCACTCCAGCTTGGCAACACAGCGAGACTCTGTCTCAAAAAAAAAAAAAAAAAAAAAAAAAAATATATATATATATATATATACATACACACACACACACGCAATATTCATCATAAAAGATCGTAATGCAAATACTGATTCCAAAGACACATAACTTGTACAACCTATTAAAGTATTTAGTGGGATGTTTACTGTTATCTATAACTTACTCTGAAATGCATGAAGAAACTAAGATAGGCTGATGGATAGACAGATAGGTATGTGATACAGTAAATCTAGAAAAAACCAATTGTGAGTAATGCATATACAAGTGTGCGGTGTAAAATACTTCCATCTTTATTAAACGTTAGAAAATTTTCATAATAAAATGTTGAGGAAAAAATTAATTTGTATTCTGAAACATAATATATTAATTTCCATGTCATTAAAAGCAAATTCCTCAAAATGTTCAAGTTACTTATTAAATTATACTTTGTCTAAACTATAAGTGAAAAAGACATACCACAGATTCCATATCATGAAGGGTTATTGGTTTGTGAAGCATCATCTTGTAAAATGGGCGGATGAAAAAACCTTGCAAAAAACCAAATACATTTAGGATGATTACCAAGTGAAAGACAACAGGTAATTACATTGTAAAAGTTTATACTTAATACTAACCATCCAACAGTTTGCCATGATAAACTGCCATTCCAGCTACCCGACCAATAAACTTGAAGTAAGAGAGGTGATCTTCATTACACAATCCAGAGTTTGGATTTATCTGTAGGGTATAATTGTCCCTGTAAAGACAATCCCATTTAAATACTTCATTTGAAACATTTGAATATGACAAATAATTATAAATAATCTTCCTCTTTTAAGAGTTGTTTACTACTGTTAGAACCACATTCCTCCACTGAATTTAATGGTTTTAAAAATAGTAATTTCTGTCAAAAAGTGGAAATAACCCAAATGTCCTTTGGCAGATGAATGCATAAACAAAGTTTTGTTTGTTTGTTTGTTTTTGAGATGGAGTCTTGCTCTGTTCCCCAGGCTGGAGTGCAATGACACGGTCTCAGCTCACTGCAACCTCCGCCTCCCAGGTTCAAGTGATTCCCCTGTCTCAGCCTCCCAAGTAGCTGGGATTAGAGGTGCCCGCCACCATGCCTGGTTAATTTTTGTATTTTTAGGAGAGACAGGGTTTCACTATGTTGGCCAGGCTTGTCTTGAACTCCTGGCCTTGTGATCCACTTGCCTCGGCCTCCCAAAGTGCTAGGATTACAGGCGTGAGCCACCGCGCCTGGCCTAAACAAAGCATTATATGCAAAAATAATGGAATATTATTCCTTAAAAAGGAAGGACATTCTGATACATGCTACAACATGGATGAACCCTGAAGACATCATGCCAAGTGAAATGAGCCGTCACAAAAAGACAAATATTGAATGATTCCACTTACGTGAGGTACCCAGAGGAGTCAAATTTACAGGGACAGAAAGCAGAATGGTGGCTGCCAGGGAATGGGGAGCAAGTGCTTACTGGGTACGGAGTTTCATTTTGGAAAGATGAAAAAGTTCTAGAGTTGGATGGTGGTGATGGCAGCACAACAATGTGAATGTATGTAATGACTCTAAATTGTATATTTAAAATGGTTAAAACAGTAATTTTTTTTTTTTTTTTTTTTTGAGACGGAGTCTCACACTGTCACCCAGGCTGGAGTGCAGTGATGCGATCTCGGCTCACTGCAAGCTCTGCCTCCCAGGTTCATGCCATTCTCCTGCCTAAGCCTCCCAAATAGCTGGGACTACAGGTGCCCGCCACCACGCCCAGAGACGGGGTTTCACTGTGTTAGCCAGGATGGTCTCGATCTCCTGACCTCATGATCCGCCTGCCTTGGCCTCCCAAAGTGCTGGGATTACAGGCAAGAGCCACCGTGCCTGGCCTAAAATGGTAAATTTTATGTAATGTGTATTTCACCACAACTTTAAAAAAAGTCACTTCTGAAGCAACATTAGTTAAAATTGCCCTTTTCAGGCATGACATATATTTTCCGTGTATCATTTGACTCTTACTTTTAAAGCCGTGATTTTTCTTTTTCTGCCTATAATCATTGTAAAGGTACTTACGTAGCAGAATATTCAAACAACCCATAATAAGGGTTAAACATTTCCTTTGAGATCAGAAAGAACCATTCTCTGGCGACTCCTCCATAATCCAATCCCTTTTCACCATCAAACTCAATCCACAGTCGAGCCTTGAGGAAGTCTGCCCTCTTGACACCCATAATTCTCCGGTAAGAGTCCTCAAGAACAGTTGCTCGGCGAAGTTTCATTTCAAATTTGTTTGGAATGTCATTCTGAAAATCCAGAGGAGAGACTTACTGTTTAAATCAGTTCAACATAATCACAAACCTCTCTCTCATAAAGTTATAATATTCCCTCTACACCCTGTGTCCAAGTCTCTTTTTCCTTACGTAATATACTCAGGGAAAACACAACTAGGTATATTGTCTTGGTTTCCTCTACGGTATGAGAGAGTTCCTGCATTTTCTCTAATTACTTAGTAATATAGACTTCTTTATATCTGAGGAAGCTTTTTGGTTTTTGGAGACAGCTCTGTAATCCAGGCTGGAGTACAGTGGCGTGAACATGGCTTACTGCAGCCTTGACCTCATGGGCTCAAGTGATCCTCTTGCCTCCGCTTCCTAAGTAACTGGACCATAGGCGCGTGCCATCATGTCTGGTTAATTTTTTAAGTTTCTGAGGTCTTGCCATCTTGCCCAGGCTGGTCTCTCATACTCCTAAGTTCAAGCAATCCTCCCGCTTTGGCCTCCCAAAGTGCTGAGATTACAGGCATGAGCCATGGCACCCAGCCTAAAGAAGCTATTGATGGTGATGGTAATGCCCCCATGAAGGCATTTCATTAACAGTCCTTTTCATATTAAGTTCCAATGAACACCGTTCTGTGACCTGTAGGATAGCCACTGCCTGCTAGCTGTTGCCTGCCTGTCTGTTCAGGGTTTTCCCTACCTCTACTTTCCTCCCTGGAGTCTATCTTCCTTCACTCATTAACAGATGGTGACATTTACAGACTGTGCCAGTGATATGTTTTGGCTGTGATCCTACCCAAATCTCATCTTGAATTGTAACTCCCACAATTCCCATGTGTCGTGGGAAGAACCCGGTGGGAGGTGATTGAATTATGGGGGCGGGTCTTTCCCGCACTGTTCTCGTGATAGTGAATGGGTCTCATGAAATCTAATGGTTTCTATGCACAAGCTCTCTCTTTGCCTGCTGCCATCCACGTTAGATGTGACTTGCTCCTCCTTGCCTTCTGCCATGATTGTGAGGCCTCCCTAGCCATGTGGAACTATAGGTCCAATAAACCTCTTTCTTTTGTAAATTGCCCGGTCTCGGGTATGTCTTTATCAGCAGCGTGAAAACGGACTAATACAGGCATGGGTCCCCTGGAATGGTAGGTTAACTCATTTAACTTTATAACAACACTATGCAAAAGCTACTATTATTGTCTTCATTTTACATATAAAACTGAAGAAGACAACTTAAGAAAGTGTTAGCTCCTGAGTCTGTACTCTTAATTAATGGAGCTACATTGCCTCACTAATCTTTTGTACATTCTTTGCTTATGTGACAAATGTACACAACTATGCTTTAGGCAGACCTTTTTGTACATTTTACAAAAGATATATCTAAATATTTTATTCCTCAGTACTTCGTGGGCAAATTTCCAGGGGAAACCAGTAAGAGAAAACATGCCATCAACATTCTGTCACCTCCAAAAAAGGTTAGCTCTAAGGAAAAAAAATCAATTTCATTCTCTATTTATTTAGGGAAAATGGAAAGCCCTATAGAAACATAATAATGTAAGCGGTTGATATAAGCAATATAAACATGATATGAGCAGTTTCTTATACTGCTTATGTCATTAAAAAAATGGTAAGCTTGCAGAAAAGCAACTTTAGACTGGATACCAGGGAGCTGGTGCAGGTAAGCATTTATCAAAGGCCTACTCTGGGCCAGGCGGTATTGTAGTAGGGCCAACGATGGGGAATAAAGGGAATAAAAACACAGGGTAAGATGTCGTTGCTTCTCAAGGAGTTTCTCATCTGGTGCATATGTGAAAAACAAGTGTAAATGCTGCTAATTCTGAGACTTAAAATAGGAGGACAATTGCTGATGATAAGAGATGGAAGCAATGTTCTGCAGGGCATAAAAGACTGAGCTATTGACTTCAAATGAGGCAATCAAGAAGGCTTTGAGAGGAAGTCTTTAGACAGAGAGAAAGGGAGGGAAGGATGGAGGAACAGCATACATGAGGGGTCTGATATATTTAATACCTACAGGGTACAGAAGGAGAAGAAGAGAGAGGAAGGGAAAGAAAGCAGGGATTATTGTTAAAAAATGTGACAAAGCAGTCTGGGGGCAGAGGGTGGACAGTGTGAATGCAGATGAGAAGAGAGTTTCTGAGTAGGAAAGCCACATGGTCAGATCGCTGGGTTCTCAGAAGCTGAGGGACAGGGTGTAAAGGGTGGTTTTAAGGAGGAGAAACAAGAGGCACACTGGTCAGTTAAAGATCCCTGGAATAGCTCAGTGAGAGAAGACAGAGGGACCTGTGAAGGAGCAATGGTAGTGGAAGAAGAGAGGGTTACAGGAGAAACTTGAGTGTTTGAACTGAGTAGTAGACAAGTGCATGCATTCTGAAATCTGGCCCTGTGTTCAAATCTTGACTCCACCATTCATTAGGAGTGAGACTTTGGACAGGTTACATGTCTTTTCTAAGGATTAATTTCCTCATCCATAAAATAGGGATAATAATAATGATAGCTATCCACATGGAGTTGTTTCAAGACTTAATGGAATAATGCATTAAAAATGCTTACACAGTATCTGGCCTATGGTAATTATTAGTCATCATTATTCCTAACTACAAGATGTTGAGAATAAGGAAGAGGAAAAGGTTAAAGACAGTGCATGGCTTTCAAGCACCGGTTTTTAATTTTTCTTTTTTTTTTTTTTTTTGAGACAGAGTACTGCTCTGTCATCCAGGCTGGAGTGCAGTGGCATGATTATAGCTCAGTGCAGCTTTGAACTCCTGAGCTCAAGTAATCCTCCTGCCTCAGCCTCTCAAAGTGCTGGGATTACGGGCATGAGCCACTGCACCTGGTGTTTTTAATATTCTTTCTCTCTGTTTTGGTGCTACACGTTCTTACATTCTAAGTGTTCTGCTCTTTTGCTATGATGTGTCTAGATACAGATTTTATTTTTAAAATACTGCTTGGGCCTTTTTATTAATGTGAGAATTCATATTCTTATCCTTCTCCTCCTTATGATCTTGGTCCCCTCCTTCTGGAGTGACTTTATGTCCTTTTATTTTATTTATTATTATTATTTTTTGAGACAAAGTCTCATTCTGTCGCTCAGGCTGGAGTGCAGTGGCGTGATCTCGGCTCACTGTAAGCCCCGCCTTCCGGGTTCATGCCATTCTCCTGTCTCAGCCTCCCAGGTAGCTGGGACTACAGGCGCCTGTCACCTCGCCTGGCTAATTTTTTGTATTTTTAGTAGAGACAGGGTTCCACTGTGTTACCCAGAATGGTCTCAATCTCCTGACCTTGTGATCCACCCGCTTCGGCCTCCCAAAGTGCTGGGATTACAGGCGTGAGCCACCATGCCTGGCTGACTTCATGTCTTTTTACCTTTCTTTTATATGTTTATTCCTTTACCTACCTTTGTTGCATTCTGGGTAATTTCCATACAAATTAATTAATTTCTCTCTTAATTCTCTTAGTCACCAATATGATATGTCATGTTGCTTAGGAACATGGGATCTGGAGCTAGACCACTTAGCTTTTCTACTTAATAACCACGGGACTTGATCACATTACCTATTCTCTCTGTGCCTCAGTTTCCTCATCTGTGAAATGTAATAGTAGTCCCTTCCTTATAGAGTTATTGTAGACATTAAATGAATAACACATGTAAACTTCTAAGAAGAATGCCTGGTATGCAGTGAGAGATCAACAAATATAATTGCTTTTATCTTTTTTTTTTTTTTAATTTTGTGGCCTGTAATGGCATTGCCTCCCATCTCCTGCTGCCTGGAAGACATTAACAATTAGATACTACAACATGTTTCAACCACTTAAAGTGGCAAATGGAGAAGCCAGTGCTTCTATTCCTCCAGCATATTCTCATTAAGAATGAAAACATTTACCAGAACAATGAATCAGCAAACATTTAAAATCCCAAAATCTAGAAGTAGAAAACAAATTTCCAGGGAAATTTTGACACAATGTTATCTTTTCTTTTTTCTTTTTCTTTGAGACAGGGTCTCACTCTGTTGCCCAGGTTGGAGTGCAGTGAAGTGATCTCAGCTCACTGCAACCTCTGCCTCCCGGGTTCAAGTGGTTCTCCTGCCTCAGCCTCCCGAGTAGCCAGGATTACAGGCGTGTAACATCACACCTAGCTAATTTTTGTAGAGATGGGGGTTTGACCGTGTTGGCCAGGCTGGTCTGGAACTCCTGACCTCAAGTGATCCACCCGCCTCAACCTCCCAAAGCGCTGGGATTACAGGTGTGAGCCACTGCGCCTGGCCCACAAAATTATCTTTAAAAAGGAGTTTAGAAAGTTGATGATATTTAAGGATTTTATTAGGGCATAAAATGTTTACACTAAAAAAACTATCATATTTTATTTTTGTTAAAAGTCTGGGTGAAAATCTGAGGTAGCCGACCCACCATCTTGAATCTTTGTGAAAGCCAGCTTCTGGCTTAGAATGCAAGAAAGTATAACCCAATATGGCCACCTAGTGGTAGTATTCCTAAACTGCAGGCAAAGGAGGACAGGATGAGCAAGTAAGAGAGGCACTAAAACTAGCAGACACCAACAGAAATGAAATAGATGGCCAGATGATGAGTTTAGTTCCAAACATATTGCATTTGTGGTGATGGGAAAAAGTGTAGTGAACATAACTGATAAGCAGACGGAGACAAGTCACAAGAGCACAGTTCCACTCATGATTGTATTTTTAAATTATGCAGAGACATTACATTTGAAGCTGTAGAGAATGAATGACTACCGCTAGAAAACAACAAAGTCATAAAACAAATCCAGAGTCTTCCAACAGAGTCAAAGACTAGGCCAGAAGATAATTTCCTGAGCCACTCTTGCTCAGGTTCTACAAAGATCAAGCCCCATAAACCCCACAAGGATATATCAGGTTAGAGCTCTGGAAAGCAAACTTTAAATGCCATTTTTCTATATTATAAAATATCTTACAAAATAAAGACATAAAATAATCAGTGGTCTGTAGTGATATATCACAGCTACACAAAAAATAAGCATCCTTTCTCTATGAAAAACTGTTCACTCAAAGTTGTTACAAATATAGAACAAATTATTACTTAAAAAAATTTCCCATTACTTTCCATCTATATATTGATGACTCAAGTATTTATCACAAACATCACTAACCTGCTTCTTCAACTTTCTTCGGAAGAACTCATACTTTCTTTTGTAATCCCTGGAGTAGGGCACTGCCTTTAGTGGGAAATTTTGGAAAAATAAAGAAGTTTAGGTTGTTTTTATGCTGGAACAATTTTTAAAGTTCCCGGCAGGGTATTTTATGAACATAAGTTAAGGGCATGAAAAGAAAAATATTTGGAAAGAAAAGTTTAATTAGAAGAAAAACAAATACAAAACTTTAAAATATTTAATTTCTCTGTTTAAGACAAAATTATATTCAGCAATTCCTATGGCTGTAATTTTCATTATGCAATATTCTCAAAATGCAGCATGCCAGAAATAGGAAATTTCTTCCAGGTAGAGAAATACTAGAAACAAAAATTTCCATTTCTAAAGAGACTTTCAAAGTGATTTCTCCATTAAACAGGCAATGTGAAAAGCGTACTTTTTCCTTGAACTCCAAGGAATTGCCTTTTTGAGCCGTTAAAGGACTACATGTTGAGATAGTAAATAGTAATAAAAAAAGTATCTTCAGTTTTATTTTTATGAATTAGAAAACCAAATCTGAATAAAATGGAAAAAGCAGCTATAAAAAAGGATAATAATTTTCCTATCTGACTACAGTTATCATACATGGTAATATTTATACTTAAGTGTGGATGTGTCTTACATACTGGGCATTTACAATGATTTCTTTTTCTTTTTCTTTTTTTTGAGATGGCGTCTCGCTCTGTCACCCAGGCTAGAATGTGGTGGTGCAATCTCTCAGCTCACCGCAACCTCCGCCTCCTGGGTTCAGGTGATTCTCCTGCCTCGGCCTCCCAAGTAGCTGGGATTACAGGTGTCTGCTACCATGCCTAACTAATAGACAGGGTTTCACCATATTGGCCAGGCCGGTCTTGAACTCCTGACCTCAGGTGACCCACCTGCCTTGGCCTCCCAAAGTGCTGGAATTACAGGTGTGAGCCTGGCCTGATTTCTATAAAAAAATTTAAGAATGACCCTGGAGTGGATAGGGTGCTGCTGCTTCCTCATCTGGATACACTCTCTGCTCCTCTCTGATTTGTGGAGGACTGTCAACATTCTTGTTCAGACAGTGGCAGGCACCCGCCTGAGCTCAGCAGCCCACACTGCCTTAGTATTCCGACTGTCTGGTTCACCTGTCTCCCACTGCTATTGCATAGGGTAAAGATAATGACGTCATAGAATCTTTTCAAATAACTGAGACTTGGAGTATGGGAAATGGGGGAGAGGAGAGAGAATGGCCAATGTGCTTTCCTCTCAATGCCTGTAGGGTTATGCCCTTGAGTATCTGCTCTTGAAGAGACAGGTGAAGGGAGAATCCCATCAGAGCACATCGGCACAGAGAGACTTACTGGTCCAGTTATTGCTACATTCTGCAACCGAGGATCTTCCCATTGTGTTCTTTTTATATCTGAAGGGAAGAAAAAGAAAAATGGTGTACTTTCTCACACATAAAATTTATTACAAAAAATAACATAATGAAAAATCGCATTGTACATACTGTGATTTATGTAGAAGATTCTTCCATCTGTGTGAGTTCTCTCTTCCCATCCTGGCTATAATGAAGAATGTATTTCAATTATGTTAGGATAGGGTTTTAGATGAATGAATAGAAAAATAGCACTGGTTGTATGGTTAACTTGCATATTCCATTCGATTCTTAGAAGGTATCAACCTTTTTTAATTTTTTATTTTATTTTTATTTTTTTGAGACGGAGTCTCCCTCTTTCACCCAGGCTGGAGTGCAGTGGCGCTATCTCGGCTCACTGCAAGCTCCGCCTCCCGGGTTCATGCCATTCTCCTGCCTCAGACTCCCAAGTAGCTGGGACTACAGGCGCCCGCCACCATGTCCGGCTAATTTTTTGTATTTTTAGTAGAGACGGGATTTCACCGTGTTCGCCAAGATGGCGTGTTGGCCAGGATGGTCTGGATCTCCTGACCTCGTGATCCACCCGCCTCAGCCTCCCAAAGTGCTGGGATTATAGGCATGAGCCACCGCGCCCAGCCTACGTTTTAATAATAATATTAATTATAGCTGATAAAGAACTACTATATCCAAAAATACAAAATATTTGAGATAGCCAAGTTAGATGGGTTAGCATTTCTATACACTTACAGGTAAAGGCCCTAGATCACTGGAAGTATCAAGTGATGTCTTTCCTCTCAGATGGGCTGGAATTTTCAATCTTGGATCTTCCTTTTTTGGTAGAGTAAATAAAGAACAATACACACACACACAAATTTTAAAATAATGAAAGTCAGTCTGTTACCATGTTTTCTAGCATCAATGGATATTTAAAATATTCTCTTGTAAAAGTCAATTTATACTTTATTTCCTAAATATGTGATATAATATTTTCTCCTTCTAAAATCTATCACTCTCAGGCTATAATATCAAAAGAAATAAGGAGCAGTTCTCAGGGATCACCACTAACTGGTAATCTCTTTTGCCCCACTCTTTAGGAAATGTGTCACATACAGCTTTTCTCTACGTAAAAACTGGTGAAAGAGTGGGACATTAAATTGGACCACAAGATATTTCTTTCGTTCATTTTTTTTGAGATGGAGTTTCACTCTTGTCACCCAGGCTGGAATGCAATGGCACCATCTCAGCTCACTGCAACCTCTGCCTCCCAGGTTCCAGGGATTCTCCTGCCTCAGTCTCCTGAGTAGCCGGGATTACAGGCATGCACTACCATGCCCAGCTAATTTTTGTATTTTTTGTAGAGATGGGGTTTCACCATGTTGGCCAGGCTAGTCTTGAACTCCTGACCTCAAGTGGTCCACCCACCTTGGCCTCCCAAAGTGCTGGGATTACAGGTGTAAGCCACCACACCCGGCCCTGGACCACATGATATTTCTAAGCCCCAGAACATGCATTTTGCCAGCTATCTGTTCAAGGGTTGATTAATACTTTTGAATAACAGGAAGGTCAGCCCAAAAACGTTATCAAAGACCAATTCAGAATATTAAAAAAGAGAACAAAATTCAATTTATTTGGTTTAATTTACATATATTATCTTAATAGTATTAATTTATTAAATAATTTTAGTATTATTTAAGCTATGTTGGTCTTTTAATAATTAATTAAAATCTATTCATCTGCTGCTAATTTTAAGTAATTTTTCTTTTTATTTGTTTATTTTTTTGAGATGGAGTCTCGCTCTGTTGCCTAGGCTGGAGTGCAGTGGCGCGATCCCAGCTCACTGCAAGCTCCACCTCCTGGGTTCACACCATTCTCCAGCCTCAGTCCCCAAGCAGCTGGGACTACAGACACCCACCACCACGCCTGACTAATTTTTTTGTGTTTTTAGTAGAAATGAGGTTTCACCATGTTAGCCAGGATGGTCTTGATCTGCTGACCTTGTGATCTGTCCCTTTCTGCCTCCCAAAGTGCTGGGATTACAGGCGTGAGTCACTGTACCCGGCCTTTAAGTAATTTTTCTATTAGTGGTAAGCCAAGCACTAAACAACTTTAAGCCTTATCTTAAAATAAAAATACTTGTTCTACCTAGCCTCACAAGGTTTTTCTGATATTAAATGAGATATGGATTCAAAAGTGCTTTGGAGCTATAAAGCCTCATATAAAAGCAAAGGGTTATTCCTATATATCTTCCTAAGCATTTGTGGCTAGTGATATAAAAACTGGAAATAGGAAGTAAACATGAATATCTCCGTAATCCAAAACAATATTAAAAAGAGGCATAAGCATTCTCTTGAATACATATAATATTATTAAGAATTCAATATATCTTTCAATGAATATTAGGAAACACAGGTTATAGAAATACACACTTAAAGATTGTAAGGAACTATACATAAGAGATGATTATTGTTGTCATAAATTTAAATGGAAGAGTGTCAAAGTTACCCAGGTGGTGGTTTTAGTGTTGTGGTCAATAAAGAAAGGCCTCCCATTTGGCGCATGTCGGACTTCCCAGCCTTTAGGAAGGAATCCTTGCTCCATTTCAGATGGCTGGGTCACCTGCTGGCTTGAATCACTGGTGGAGGCTTGTGACTGAGGGCCCGCAGAACTCTGGCTTGATGTCAGCTGACTGGTCTCCACTGTGGCCTAGCACATTAATGAAATCATACTGTAATATTTTATAGAGAGAAAACTCACAAATAGATGCAGTTAAAAAGGTAACCTAACCTGCAAATAGAATACACACCCTCTATTAAAGAGATTCTACATATTTGAGGCTCATTTTCAAATGTAGTTATGGCATATTAATATTTTCCCAACATTTTAATAATGCATTACATTTAATAACATTTAATAACACTTTTCCAATACATTATTTCGTATAACTTTATTTTTACAGTAATTTATAATTTCTCAACTCATTCTCAAGCAGTAAGATGGTAGTTAACAGTCTGCTGTGGGTGCATCTGACTGAAGGAGCAAGGTCCACAAGCGCAAGTCCTAGCCGCAAGGGGAGCTCTGGTGCCTATAGGAGGAGGTCGCCTTTGTTTTCCCAAAACTCATAGGATGGGGAATTCCTCATACACAGAAGTAGATTCAAATGTTGGGCAGACAAAACGAATGGCAAATATCTACCACAGAAATGGATAAGTGAAATGTAACATATTCATGACGGAATATTAGTAGTTAAGAGAAATACACTGGATCTATAAATAACAATATAGACAGAGCTTTAAAACAATGTTAAGCAAAAAAAGGTGTAGACTTATGGGGCAAAGTTTTTTTTAATTGAGCAGCACCTCATTCTGTAAAATAAAATGAGTGTTCTCTCATTGCAAAATTAGAAACACAGGCATATAAACAATATTTTACATTTTCTTTTCTTTTTTTTTTTTTTTGGAGACGGAGTTTTGCTCTGTTGCCCAGGCTGGAGTACAGGGGCGCAATCTTGGCTCACTGCAAGCTCCACCTCCCAGGTTCGATCAATTCTCCGGCCTCAGCCTCCCAAGTAGCTGGGATTACAGGCATGTGCCACCATGCCCGGCTAATTTTATTTTACATTTTTAAAGTTCTTTATGTAAGTATATAAAAAAGGCTAAAAGAATACACAAGAAATTCAAGATGGTGGTTCCCCCTGGGGAATGGGACCAAGAGCTTGGCTAAAAGGAATTTAGCTTAATCTATAAGACTCGATTTTTAAAAATAAAATGTCTGGAAATTAATATGATAACTTGTTAATGATGGTAATTCTGAGTGTAAAGAATATGTGCATTTGCTATATTATTCTCTGCACTTTTCAGTGCTAAAATATTTCTCAATAAGAGACACGGTGGTAAGAGAAAATAAATATTTTGCTAAACACTTACAAGGAAATATTATAGATGAAACTGTTGCCAAGGGGAGGTGTCATCAACATAAACTTCTTTTTTTTGAGATGGAGTTTCACTCTTGTTGCCCAGACTGGAGCACAATGGCACAATCTCGGCTCACTGCAACCTCCGCCTCTTGGGTTCAAGTGATTCGCCTGCCTCAGTCTCCCGAGTAGCTGGGATTACAGGCATGCGCCACCATACCTGGCTAATTTTTGTATTTTTAGTAGAGATGGGGTTTCTCCGTGTTGATCAGGCTGATCTTGAACTCCCAACCTCAGGTGATCCACCCGCCTAGGCCTCCCAAAGTGCTGGGATTACAGGCATGAGCCACCTTGCCCAGCCCAGCATAAACTTCTTTAATAGATACCAATCGACAAGATTATCTTTTAGTTAAAATAACAATCTTAACTATTCAAATTACAAAAATACCCCAAAACTAGATCATTTGCTTTTTCCTTATTCTCATTTGAACTTGTTTTATATAATAACAAGTGGTAATTCGTGTATACTAGAGATTCATAGGGAATGGTAGACACTTAACATCAGTGTCAGAAAATAAATAATTAGAAGATGCTACGGCCAGGCACGGTGGCTCATGCCTGTAATTCCAGCACTTTAGGAGGCTGAGGTGGGTGGATCACCTGAGATAGGAGTTTCAGATCAGTCTGGCCAACATAGTGAAACCCCATCTCTACTAAAAATACAAAAATTAGCTGGGCGTGGTGGTGTGCGCCTGTAGTCCCAGCTACTTGGGACGCTGCGGCAGGAGAATTGCTTGAACCCGGGAGGCAGAGGTGCAGTGAGCCAAGATCACGCCATTGCACTCCAGCCTGGGTGACAAGAGCGAGACTCCATCTAAAAAAAAAAAAAAAAAAGAAGATTCTAGAAGTATCCAGCGTATACTACAAAGTGATGTACTAGTTGACATAGGGATGTGACAGTTGAAATCCTACAAGAAAGCAAGTGAACAAAATGCAGGATACCTGTACAGTGGGCTTTGTCCAAGTAGTCGTTCTGGAATTGTGATCTACATAATATGATCTTCCTCTTTCATCTTGTTTTTCTTCCCAACCTGGTGGTAATCCAGATGAAGTAGGCAAAAGCTACAGTGAAGCATAACAGAAGAATTAAATACATCAAGTTTAAGAATCCTTCTATCACCCCCAAAAGTTCCCTCCGTCCCTATCCCTACTCTCAGCCGGAAACAACCACTCATCTGCTCTCTGTTGCTACAATTTTGCCTTTTATATATATATATATATATATATATATAGAGAGAGAGAGAGAGAGAGAGAGAGAGAGAGAGAGAGAGAGAGCGAGAGCTAGAGAGAAACAGAGTCTTGCTCTGTTGTCCAGGCTGGAATGCAGTGGTGCAATCTTGGCTCACTGCAACCTCTGCCTCTCGGGTTCAAGCTATTCTCGTGCCTCAGCCTCCCGAGTAGCTGGGATTACAGGCATGTGCCAACACATGCAGCTAGTTTTTGTATTTTTAGTAATAACAGGGTTTCACCATATTGGCCAGGCTGGTCTTGAACTCCTGACCTCAAGTGATCCACCTGCCTCGGCCTCCCAAAATGCTGAGGTTACAGGCATGAGCCACTGTGCCTGGCCAGAAGACTTAAATATTAACAAGAAAGAATCCTTTGAAAAGCACCACATCCCTTCTTCACTACTTGCTTGTTTTAAAACAATTCATATTTTATTTTATTTTGAACTAAAACCATGTATTATAATAAAAATGGGTAAATTATACATTTTAGTGAAGTAAACCACATTTCAAATATTTTAAAATGTGCAAAATAAAGTGTACAGTATTTCACTTGGGGAAAAAAAACACTAGAACAATAATGTTGAGAGTGATAACAACCCTAATAAAACATCCCAACAATAACAAGCACACGCTCTGTTTAACGCGGATAATGTCATTTATTTCCCACCCGAATTTCAATGAGATAATTACTAATACTGGCTCATTTTACTGATGAGTAAACAGAAGCTTACAATATAGAAGTAACTTGCTACTACACTTGGTCTTAGCCAAAAGGCCGAGAGTGATGGAATTAACCTGTTAAGCGACATTGCTTCTAAGGAATGGAGCTGAGATTTGAACCCAGGTAATCTAACAACAGAAATCATGCTTATCTGCTGAATCAAGGGTTACTCCTGCCTTGTTTCTCTAAAAGCTAGGAGATGCTATTTATCATAGTTTGTTACAAATGAGTAAAGAGAGGTTTGGTTATTTCCAGGCTTACTTAAAATAGTCCTAAATCCAGGCTGAGTGAAGTGGCTCACCCCTATAATCCCAGCACTTTGAGAGGCTGAGGTGGGTGGATCACCTGAGTTCAGGAGGTTGAGGCCAGTCTGGCCAACATGGTGAAACCTCGTCTCTACTAAAAATACAAAAAAAAAATTAACTGGGCATGGTGGTGGGCACCTATCCCAGCTACTCAGGAGGCTGAGACAGGAGAACTGCTTGAACTAGGAGGCAGGGGTTACAGTGATCTGAGATCGCACCATTGCACTCTAGCCTGGGCAACAGAGCAAAACTCCGACTCAAAAAAACCCACAAAAATTAGCTGGGCATGGTGGTGCATGCCTGCAGTCCCAGCTACTCAAGAGGCTGAGGCAGGAGAATCGCTTGAACCCAGGAGGCGGAGGTTGCAGTGAGCTGAGATTGCGCCACTGCACTCCAGCCTGGGCAACAGAGCAAGACTCTTGTCTCCAAAAAAAAAAAAAAAAAAGTCCTAAATCTGGCCTTCCTGTTGTCATTTTGAAGCAGATTAGACCTGGTTTGGTGTGGCTCCTTAAGGTGTCTTACAACATAAAAACCAACACCACCAGTCTCCACACTGAAGACACCGCTTACTAGATACACAGGAGCCCTACATACTTTGCTGACAGTTGTGATGAACTGTTAGATCACAAAATGATGGATTTAAATGCTGCCCAGTTCTACAAATGTCCATCAGCTGGTGAACAGATAAATGTAGTGGATATATCTCTACAATGGAATACCGTGCACTCATAGAGGCATGCAATAACATGGATCTATGTGAAAAACAGCATGCTAAGTGAAAAAGGTCAGACACATAAGCTTATACCCTACAACTTCCTTTACATGAGATTTCTAGAAAAGGCAAAACTGTAGCAATAGAGAGCAGATGAGTGGTTCCTTGCAACTGAGAGTAGGCATAGGGATTGAGGGAACTTTTCGGGCTGATAGAAGGTTCTTAAACTTGATTGTGGTGATGTCTCCATAACTGTATACATTTACAAAAACTCTTTAATTGTATGATCAAACATGGCTGGATTTTATGGTATGTAAATTACACTCCAAGACAGCTCTTAAAAAAAAAAAAATCAATGTATTGAGGGGAAAAAAAGGCATGGAAACAACTTTTCTGGTACATAAAATGTAAATCATCTCAAGATTCTGCTGCTCATCCGAAGCACCTAAAGTAGTGTCTTGGGTGAATGTCTGTCAGTCAATGAGAACTTCCACATATTCATTGTATAGAGGACATTATAAGGTGCAGAGGGAAAAATACCAGGAACTCGACTTGAGCAGGCTCTGATCTAATGGAGGAGGCTGGACAGATGACAGTGAGTGACAGTAAGGCCGGCGAAGGTAGTCTTTCAATGGCATCTGTCCTCTTGTTGATGGTCAATATTGACCAGAGCAATGGATGCATAGGTGGGTGACGTCTCATTCCTCAGCACAGGATCTGTGTCCCATTCTTAGTGCAGGGTGTTATTTAGACAGATAAACCACTCATGGGCTGAGGATTTTGAAGCCTCTGCATTGCTGTCCTAGAACATACCCTGTTTTTCAAAGCTGATATCTAGACTGCCATTCCAAATTGCAGATGGTTGGGGAAGAAAATGAGAAAGCCATTCCAAGCAGGGAAATGGAATGCACGCAGACTCAGAAGCGGGAGAGAATCAGGACATGGGAACAGTCTGCTTGGAAGAAAAAGCATAGACAGGAATGAAGGCAGCAGGAGGCTTCTGTTGGGGGATAAGGAGAAGGGTAGGCTGAAGAGGCTGGGAGCCTGGGAGTTTTACTTTAGTTTCAAAAACAAGTAGGGTCTCTGGAAAAGGGAGACAAACTCAGAGTAGTGAGGCTTGTGTCAGGAAGAGGATGGAGGCAGGGTTAAGGTTCAAGCTGCCATCCAGGCTGTGACTGGGACAGCACTGAGCAGGAAGCAGAAGGCCTTAGTAGACTGGTGGATGTGATACTGCAGGGAAGAAACAGACCAGGGACTGATAAACTCCAGCCTGGCCGCCAGGTGTGTCAATGCCAGTGCACACCTGAGTGATGAAACCCTGGCTATGCTTCATGTACAGGGCAGACATGGCTGCTGGATGCCATGTGCTTACGCAGAGCATCGGCAATTGGACACAGTGATCCTGAATTGTATGCTGCATGCAGCGGACCACCTCTAGCCAGCACGGCGCTTCAACCGACAAGCCCAGATACCACCCACAGTCACCAGTATGCAGAGACTTTGCTTTTAACATGGGAGAGACAGTTCTGCATGTTTTGTCTTTGAGGCCTTTCCCTGAACATCACCACCTGGAGCCTACATTCTCTGCTGTATTAGTTCCCTGTAAGGCAAACGTTCACACTTAGTCTTCTAAATAATACAAAATAAAAAGAGATGCTGAGTTTTATATTTTTATTGATTGATGGGAGAGGGTAAAACTCACCACAGGAAGTGCAGGTTGTTCCTCAAAAGTATAGGCTTGTAAGCTGCCTCTTCTGCTGGAATGATTCTTGTAAAAAAACAAGACAACAGAAGGAGAATACCTTGAGATTTGTCATTTGTCTCTGAGCATCAGCTAAGGTAGTGAGGGTAAGTATGACAGGGAAGAGAAGGCTGGCTAGGATGCAGCTGTCGAGACTGCAGGCTGAGGCACGTGGTCGCTCTCAGCCCCCAACGTGGACACCTTCACACATCCAGCTCCCACACCCCGGGTGCTGGACTGCCTCCTGGACACCTTCTCTTGAATGTCTCACAGAAACTATTCTCAAATACACTCTCTCTCCACTTTAGTTACTAGTTTTATTGTTGTTTTAACTTCAAGTTTTCATCTTTTGTCACTTCGATGACAATGGCAGCAATATCCTAATAAGTTTCCTCATTGTAAGTCTTACTTCCTTAAGTCCATTCTCCATGCTGCACGCTGCAGGTTCAGAGCATCCTGCAGTGCACAGCCAGTCCTGTCATTCTGGAGCTGAAGCCCATGACAGCACAGAAAACAATGCTTCCTGAGCACCACGACCTGCCTCTTCCTGACTTCTTCTGCCACTTCCCACTTTGCAATCCACCCCCTGGACATTCCAGACTACTTGTTTCCTGGAAATCTCTTGTTCATTCTTTCCTTATGTTGTTCTATTCATGCTATTATCACTATCTGAAATATCTTAGTTTTGTTATTTAACGACATCAAAATTTACAATGCACGTACAAATTAAATCAGAATATCCACTGTAGTACTGTTTATAATAGTACTGTAAACAATCTAAAATCTTTTAATAGGAGACTGGTGAAATACCTTAAGGACGACTTGTACAATGGAATATGCCAGAGTTTAATGATTGTTTTAGTTGGTTTCTAAAGGAGTACATCTATATATACTGAAATGGTTCAATGTCTAAGAGACAGCAAGTGAACAAAGCAAGTTACCAAAAAGTATGTTTAAGATGATCTCAGGCTAAAAAATCATCTACAAATATATGTGTATGCATGCATGTTTATGAATATACAGAAAAAGTTTCCATATATGTATGCATGTGATTTATCACCAGCAAATCAATATCATTTTATTCTTTAGTCTTTGACCACTAATAGTGACTGAGGGAGCATACACTAGTGGTAAGATGGAAAATTTAATTTTTATTTATTTATTATTTATTTATTTATTTTACTTATTTATTTTTTTGAGCCAGAGTCTTGCTCTGTCGCCCAGGCTGGAATGCAGAGGCACGATCTTGTCTCACTGCAACCTCCGCCTCCCAGGTTCAAGCAATTCTCCTGCCTCAGCCTACTGAGTAGCTGGGATTACAGACACGTGCCACTGTATCCAGCTAATTTTTATATTTTTAATAGAGACGGGGTTTCGCCATGTTGGCCAGGCTGGTCTTGAACTCCTGACCTCATGTGATCTGCTCGCCTTGGCCTCTCAAAGTGCTGGAATTACAGGTGTGAGCCACGATGCCCAGCCTTAAGTTTTATTTTATATACCTAAATACAATTTCAATTTGTAACCGTAACCATACAGTGCTTTAAAAAGATTTTTAAAAAATAGATAACAATCATCCATGTTATAAAATTCGAAAGGAGCCTAGGCAACAATACTATACCCAGTCTCTACAAAAATTTTTTTAAAAATTAGTGGGGGTACAATGGCATGTGCCTGTAGTACCAGCTACTCTAGAGGCTGAGGTGGGAGAATCCCTTGAGCTCAGAAGTTTGAGATTGCGGTGAGCTATGATCATGCTACTGCACTCCAGCCTGGGCGACAGTGAGATCCTATCTCAAAAAACCAAAAGGTACAAACAATATATATCCTGTTCATTCTTTGCCTCTCTTCAGAGGCAAGCAACGTTACTAGTTTCCTGTTTCGTTCTTGAGTAAATCATACACACATTTATGCTCTGCATTTAAGTAATTTACATAAATCCTGGCATAACAAACACACTGTTCTGTACCTTGCTGTTTTTCATTTACCAGCAGCTCTTAGGGATTGTTCTATCTGACATATACACTTGAGCCCACCTTGTTCTCTTCAATGGCTGCATAGTATCACACTATATGGTTGCCAGGTATTACTTTAAGTAAAAAAAAAAAATACCAGGAAGAAAACGGATGGGATTGCATGTGATTTATCACCAGTGAATCAATATAGTTTATTCTTTTTTTTTCTTGAGACGGAGTTTCACTGTCACCCAAGCTGGAGTGCAATGGTGCGATCTTGGCTCACCGCAACCTCTGCCTCCTGGGTTCAAGAAATTCTTCTACCTCAGCCTCCCGAGTAGCTGGGATTACAGGTGTGCACCACCACACCCAGCTAATTTTTGTATTTTTAGTAGTGACAAGGTTTCGCCATGTTGCCCAGGCTGGTCTTGAACTCCTGACCTCAAGCCATCTGTCCACCTCAGCCTCCCAAAGTGCTGGGATGATGGGCGTGAGCCACCATGCCCGGCTTAATGTAGTTTATTCTTTAGGTCTTTGATTGCCCTGTCCTGCCCTCCTGTGAAAAAATGAAATGAATGAAGACAGAACAGACAAATGGAAGAAAGGAAGGGCAGGAGGTAGGCAGGCAGATTTACTGGTAGATATTCATATTCACGTACAACTATCTACTGTGAAGCTTCTTGAAGAAGATGCTAGAGCAGAGGTTAGCACACATTTCCTGTTAAGGTCCAGACAGTAAATACTGACTGTGGGCCATATGGTTGCTGCTGTAACTACTCAATTCAGATGATGTAGTGTGAAAGCAGAGATGGGCAATATCTAAACAAATGATGTGGCTGTATTTCAGTGGTAATTATTCATAACAGGCAGCTGCCGATTTGGCCCACCGGTTGTAGTTTGCTTTCCCCTGCACTAGAATATAGGTCCCATGAAAGCAGGAGATATTGTATATTTTATTTACTGATGTATCCTCAGTAACTAGCATATAGTATCTTGATCTCAATAAATATTTACTTGCTCTCCATAAATATTTACTAACTAAATGAAAGGCAGGGAAACTTCAACTGGAAATGACAAATAGCATCCTCTCAGAGAGTAATCTTTGTCTCCTACTGAATCTCCCTTGATTAGATAGAGTTTAGACAGCTAGCTATGAAGTTCTCATCATAGAAGCATATGCTGGAATACTTTATTCTGAACCCTATGGACAACAGTTTTTACAGTAGTGGCTGAAGTGAAAATGTCATCGATTTCCTTGTTTAGTCAAAGTATATCAGTTCTTATTCATATATACCTGTTGGTGACATTTGTGATATCATGTTAAAACTTCAGGTCAGAAGCAGTGGCTCATGCCTGTAATCCCAGCACTTTGGGAGTCTGAGGCGGGTGGATCACTTGAGGCTAGGAGTTCAAGACCAGCCTGGTCAACAGGGTCAAACTCCTCCATCTCTACTAAAAATACAAAAATTAGCTGGGCGTGGTGGTGTGCGCCTGTAATCCCTGTTATTCAGGAGGCTGAGGCATGAGAATCGCTTGAAGCTGGGAGGTGGAGTTTGCAGTGAGCCAAGACAGCACCACTGCACTCCAGTCTAGGTGACAGAGTGAGACGTCTCAAAACAAACAAACAAACAAACAAACAGACAGACAGACAAACAAAAAACCAACTTCAGCATAACTGGGAGAGAGAAAAGCAGTCCCTAACATCCAGGAGCTGCCCTGGCACTCATAGGTAAGATCAAGACAAAATCAAGACCACTCTATAATTGTGGCTGAATATAGACAAAACATGAACACTGTCCAAGCCACAAAATACCAAACATTTCCCCATCCTGGCAAATGTGAGTGACTGTTCTACTTTGCTAATCATAGCTTTAGCCTCACTACGGGTAAGATTTGAGATGCAAAATCATAGAATTATCCCTGCTTCCCAACAGCATCTCACACAGAGCAAAGTCCTGCTTCCTAAAACCCTCTTCAAAATCACTTAATGGGAGCCCAAATCCTTGAAGTCTTTTCTAACGTTCTGTTACCAAAACACCACCGTGCGTGTTCTCCCTTGCCGAAATGAATAATAAACCCAAGTTGTTCAATTACAAATGTGTCCCTAGTGATTTTTGTCTGGAGGGTATTCACATAACGGAAATTTGGCTGCCATGACTCTGGTCCATACTATTGATGGGGATATTTGAAAAATGCCCATGTTATAAAGTCCCAAGATCCCTAACATATTATTACATATTATTGCATTTAAGACAAAATTTTACATAAAAGTTAGTTGTTGAATGGTATAATAAGCATAATATAAACTACTGAAGCCATAACAAAATCTAAGAGCGTCTTACTGAGCTGGATGCTGACTGGCTTGTGGCTGAATTTCCGAAAATGGTGAGTCTGGCATTCAATTCTTCTGCAAGATGAGTTGGAACATCCAAGTTACTTGATGGTGGAGGTGATGGGAAGGCCTGGCTACTATACATGGTGGCTTCATCTTCTCTTATAATTTCCCAGTTCTAAAATGAACAGAATAAGCTTGAGCCACACATACTTTATTGCTATAACGTGTCTATCAAGGAGAACTAGGAAACTACTTATACCTCGGAAGACTCTCGGTTATCAACACTTTCTGTTTCCTCGGATATTTGCCGCCTGGTGGTAAATGCACGTTGTGCTTGCAGTTGAATGTTGCCATTCTCAGCATCTGTTAGGTTGTCCCTATATTGGAAGTATAAAAAGTCATCATCCATGTCTTAAGCAGTTAAAATGATTGTCAAAGATTCTGTGATCGTTGAAAAAAAATCTACATTAGATCAATAAAAAAATGTATTGTCTGGCCGGGCGCGGTGGCTCACGCCTGTACTCCCAGCACTTTCGGAGGCCGAGGCGGGTGGATCATGAGGTCAGGAGATTGAGACCATCCTGGCCAACACGGTGAAACCCCATCTCTACTAAAAATACAAAAAATTAGCTAGGCGTGGTGGTGGGTGCCTGTAGTCCCAGCTACTTGGGAGGCTGAGGCAGGAGAATGGCGTGAACCCGGGAGGCAGAGCTTGCAGTGAGCCGAGATCACGCCACTGCACTCCAGCCTGGGCAACAGAGCGAGACTGCGTCTCAAACAACAACAACAAAAAAGTATTGTCTTTGATCAAAGGCTATTTCAACATGCATAGATTCAATCATGGGTAGGCAGACTGGTATATTTAGAGTACCTTACTGAGTTTAAGGTTTTGTGGAAAGGTACAACATGTCTGATTTGATATTTAAGTGTCACTGTGTCTAGGATAATGTCCAACACATATAGGTACTCAAAAATATTTGTTGAATGAATGACTATCAGAGAGCTTCACAGATTATTTCATTACATTATTTTGCCATGTTATTATAAGAGTAGTAGAGTTACACATACATTTTTGTGAATCAGATAGTATATTTTCTAGAATTGGTCTTAAGCCAGGAGTAGAGTACTCCATGCATCAATGTGAAGGGCAGAATGAAAGATGGTGTAATAATTTTATAATGAAAAGCTTAGGAATTACATATCTGTTAGGAATGGTATCTGTTTTTGGTAATATACAGTCATGAGCCTGTTCTGAAAACGGTAATAGTAAAGATTTGTCTGAGCTTAGGAGTACAATAAATCAGATTGGACGGTTAATGAGCATTTAAAAAAAAATAGAAAGAATGAATAAGACCTAGTATTTGATAGCTTAACAGGTGACTACAGTCAATAATAATTGAATTGTACATTTAAAAACAACCAGAAGACTGTAATTGGATTGTTTGTAAGAAAAAGGATAAAGGCTTGTGAGGATGGACACCCCATTTTCCACGATGTGATTATTATGCCTTGCATGCCTACATCAAAACATCTCATGTACCCCACAAATATATATACCTATTAGGGACCCACAAAAATTAAAAAAAAAAATCAGATTGAACACCCTTACCCCAGTCATTTATATTATTCTAATTATTTGCATTTAATATAACCAGTCTATCAGATCAAGAATTTTGTTCAAATATTTAATAATAAAATTATTGTTAATTTATTTAATGCCACATGAGCTCAGGCTAGTTGGAAGACCAGTTCTCACTGTACTGTAGCTAAAGAAAACATAACTTTGATACATAGTTTTAAGGGAAAGCTTGTTTTTTTTCCCCCTAAATATTTGATTTTGGCTACCTGAAAATGACATCAGCCACAGTGAAAGAAATGTCATTTTGCTCAAGTAAGGCTTGCCATAATACTGAGGTATGCAATAGGGCAATTCTGCAGAATTTTATAGTGTCTTCAGCTTTGCAGTCTGTATGTCACTCTACGAAGACTGAAGCTTCTGTGCTATGAAGTACTTGAATTGCTGATTTGTTTTGGAAGGATATGAGAACAGAAAATATCTATGAAAGTGCCTGGCATATATCAGGCACAAAATATCAAAGCCAAAAATTAGGAGACTAATGAACACATTAAAAAATTACAAGTATGTTTCAAACAGAAGACTAAAGGAAGACTTTATAAGACTATATGGAAGGAAAAATGGAAGGGGATTTGAGAATAAATATGAATGGGAGACTTTATAAATGTATACACAGTTTAATGATAATAAAAAAAATCACTAAGGAGATATAAGTTAGAATATGTTGAAAGTCGTTCCATCTTTGATCTGTGCATGCTGGAAGTTGTGTGGATATTGACCAGACTATCAAATGGGCGTTTAACATAAGACCCTTATTATTGAGTCCTTTATATTTTACAAATAATTTATATTTTAAAAAGAGTACTGTAAAAATTAACATTTTATTATATTTTAATAATAAACTATAAAAATTCTCTAAGACTTCTAATTCAGCCTAAAAAGAAATACATACCATTTGTGGCTATATAATAATTAAAAACTTATTAAAATTAAGAGACAATTAAAAGGGTAGTATCTAATGTCAAATAATTTTGAATATTATCAAGTCATTTAAAAAAAGAAACAGCAGAGTTAGGATTTTCAAAGTCCTGGGCCATAAAAATCCTAGTATTCTTATAGTTTATGGATCACTATACTGTTATGAATCCATCTGAGATACGACTTCAAAATGAAAATTCGTAAAGTGCTTCCAGATTAAAATTGTGAAAGCCATCAGCACATACTGAGGGGTTGGTCTTTTCCACTGTGTTCTTCTAGATTCATGGTTTACATAGTAGGTCCTTCCAAGGATATCCTGCCTCTCTTCCCACCCTGGAGGTAGAGGAGAAGGTTCCTGTTGTTGCTGCAAATGGCAAGCAGCATCTGGTTGGTCCAAAACAACCCAGCCAGGCTGAAAAACACGATGGTAGCAATTAAGTTTATGCATGATTTTTTTAACTTTAGAAATTATATGCTAAAGGAAATTTAAAAAGAGATTTATTATACCAAGTTTTAGAAATTATGCATAGACAGAATTAACAATCCTCAATTTTTAAGACCATAATATACTTTATGATAATGAAGACTTTTTTTTTTTTTGCAAAAATGATAACCATTGAAATTTTGTCTAAAATTGTCCAAAACTTTTTCAAAAAAAAACTTTAAAGGCACCAGCCTGTAAAGTTTCCACCAGGTTCTGCCTGGGTGACAGAACCAGACCCTGTCTCAAAACAATAAAACAGAACTTTAAGACAAATCTATTTAAAATTTTCATAACAAAAAGTAATGAAAGTATGTGAGGTCACAGATTTAATTAGCCTGATTTCATCATTCTGCATTGTAAGTATATACCAAAACATCACATTGTCCTCCATAAATATATACAATTATTGTTTGTCAATCAAAAATAAAATTTAAAAAAAAATCTAAAAAAAAGGACAAAAAATCTTTTAAATAAACAACCATGGAAAGTTGGAAAGCACTGAGAAATTGAGAAGCATAGTTTAAACTACTCGTGCAATCTTAGGCTATTCTCTAAATTATCAGCAAGGATTATTTCTCATTGGTCATTGTCTTTCCTGCAGAGAAAGCACCTTGTTTATGGTAGAAATCAATAACTATCTGACACATGGAAAAAAATCATTAGATAAAGGTCAAATGCATAGAGGGGCAAGATACGGAAGGGCAAATGATTTAGAAATAACTGCTACAGTGAATTCTCTAGTGATGGAAAAGTCATTCTGATTCCCTTGTCTGATTTCTCTCTTTCTCCTCCAGACCAAGGCAAGGCATTTTATCAAGTCATAAAACAGCCAAAGAAAGATTAAAAAAAAAAAAAAAATGCACTGGAAGTTTGGTTTCTCAGAGACTAACAAGGGGCAAAATTAACATAAAGCCTTAGTTAGGGCAGTTAAAGTAGGAACTGATAGAAAAGAGTACCAAGAGTTAATGCTTTTATATGAGAAACCTCATAAAAGAAAAGGCAGTTGGTCAAAGATTCTATTAAATACCGATTGGTTAGGAAAGCATTAGAAACTGAAATAAACTGGTGAAGAAAACTTAAAAATGCTCCCAAAAGGACACAAAAGAAGACTTAAATAAAGGAAAGACATAGTTTAGTCTTGGCAGTCTCATAGTTTAATCTTTGTGAGACTCAGTCTCACAAAGGTGTCAATTCTTCCCACGTTAATCTACAAATTTACCAAGATTCCAACAAAACTACATTATGATTTTAGAAGAATAGACCGTGTGCAGTGGCTCAGGCCTATAATTCCAGCACTTTGGGAGGCCGAGGCAGGCAGATCACCGGAAGTCGGGAGTTTGAAACCAGCCTGACCAACATGGAGAAACCCCGTCTCTACTAAAAATACAAAATTAGCTGGGCGTGGTGGCGGGTGCCTATAATCCCAGCTACTTGGGAGGCTGAGGCAGGAGAATTGCTTGAACTCGAGAGGCAGAGGTTACGGTGAGCCAAGATCACGCCATTGCACTCCAGCCTGGGCAACAAGAGCAAAACTCCGTTTCAAAAAAAAAAAAAAAAAAAGATACAAGGCAATTCTCAAGTTCAAATAGAAACATAAACAAGCAGGAATAAGCAGCACAATTTTTAAAAAGAAGAGCAAGAAGTGAAGATCAACCCTACCAGATAAAACATATTATAAATGACAACAATTAAAGCTGTGTAGTTCTGGTGCATGCACTGACAGGCAGCTCAATAGATTTGCCCAGAAAGAAACAACTTTATAGGAATTTTGGCCGGGCATGGTGGCTCACACCTGAAATCTCAGCACTTTGGGAAGCCGAGGTAGGCAGGTCACGTGAGGTCAGGAGTTTGAGATCAGCCTGGCCAGCATGGTGAAACCCTGTCTCTACTAAAAATACAAAAATTAGCCAGGCATGGTGGCGGGCACCTGTAATCCCAGCTACTTGAGAGGCTGAGGCAGGAGAATTGCTTGAGCCCGGGAGGCAGAGATTGCACCACTGCACTCTAGCCTGGGCGATAGAGCAAGACTCTGTTTAAAAAAAAAAAATTACTTAGAAAATGGGCATCCATTTGGAAAAAACTTCACTTGAATCCCTACCTCATTCCTTGTATCAGGAAAAGTTACAGACTGAGTAATATCTAAACGTTTAAAAGTGAAACCAGAAAGTATTAATAACAACTGCTGAAAATTTTAGAAATACATTTTAAGGGTGGGACACTGTTAAGTATGACACCAAACCTTGAAGGCATGAAAGAGAAGATCTATAAATTTGACAACAAAACACCCAAATTTGTGTATGGCCAAAACTACTAACATATACATATGTTATAAAGAGCAAATGACAAAGAGGCAGACATGTTCGGTACTTGGATAACTGACACAGAATAATTTCCTTAGATACACAGAGTTTCTGTTATAGGCCTGGAGATCAGCAGTAAATGACTGTTGTGTGACAGGCAGTGGACTGCTTCCAAGATGGAAGAGAATTCTTCTACGTTGGAAGGCTAGACTTGAAAACAAGGCCTCAGGGAAGAGTTGGGAAGGAAAGGAATGTGTTTTGGTAGCAGGGAGAAATGGATAGGGAGTTTCTGCAGCAAGGCTGATCTATTTTGGCTAGCTCTGTATAGAAGGTGATGGGTAGTGGAGGAGCAAGATGACGGAATAAATTATTTTGGGAGAAAAGGTCTGGATGGGAATTTCTCTTTCTTTCTTCTCTCTCTCTCCACACGGTCTGACATCCAGGTTGAAGTGCAGTGGTGCCATCACAGCTCACTGCAGCCTTGACCTCCTGAGCTTAAGTAATCTTTCACCTTAGGCTTTAGGTGCATACTACCATGCCGAGCTAATTTTGTATTTTTTTTTGTAGAGATGGGGTCTCGCCTATGTTGCCCAGGCTGGTCTCAAACTCCTGGGCTCAAGCAATCCTCCTGTCTTAGTCTCCCAAAGTGCTGGGATTACCAGCGTGAGCCATTGTGCCTAACCTTTCTTCTCTCTTTTTTTTCCTTTTTACCTGTTTTATAAGAATTGTTATCTGTTTTTTTTTTCTTTCTATTGCCCAAATTCCATTCTCTTCTTTCCCTATATCCTCTTACTTTGTCTGCCCATTCATGTTTATCTTCCTTCTTTCTTTTCCTTTCCCTTAAACTATGATAATATAGGATCTAGCATACCTAAAAATTAGTCTTGCATATATTAAATCAGATTGCATTTTTCTGGTTTCAATCCCAAAAACATGTAAGTTAAGTTTTTATATTTTGTGAGAAAATATAAGCTTAACATTTTTTGGTTGAACATAATCATTGATTAATTTCCTTTAAGATTAATACAATTTATTAATAAAATAGTTCTCACTACTGCTGTAAAGGATTATAAAAATACTCAGCACTCGAAAAATGGTACCAAAAGAATATTTCTTTTAAAGCTTCTTAGAGATTTCTCCCTTAAAGGTCTGCTTAATGTATTTATATTATCTGAGTGAATTCAAGAAGAGAAAGAACAAAAATTAATTTAATTAAAGGCTTAAGAAAAACCTATCTCAAATTCGTGGAAGTAGAGTTGTACAATCAAACACTGTTTAGAAAGACTGGATAAAATGCCTCTATACAGTCAATTTTTGGATACCAGGCCTTCCTATTAAATATGTATCAGCTGCTATTCTTTATAAAATAACTTTCTAAGTATCAATGAACCTTATTTAATTTCTAACCTCAAAGCCAATATGTAATCGCTCACAATTTAATCAAGTCAAAGAGGGTCAGGAAGAAAGTATTCAGAGGTACAACCAACATTTTATATGTTAATTTTGTAAAATACATACAACTAAACCTAAAGTTGCAAATGGTACAAAAATCAACCGTTACATAATTATCTATTATAGTCATACTTTACTACAGAATACAAACTACCTAAGAGTGAGCTTCATTTCAAAATTACAATTGTTTTCCTAGTAGAATTTATACAGTCACAAACTAGCTGTCAAAGGACTAGGCAAGACGACTCTAGTCATTAGCTACACAGAAGGTAAATAAGCACAGATTCATGTGTTTGAATTCCTAGGGCCTTTCATAAATAAACTCCTACACGCTTACATCTCCTGAAATTATAAGGTGCATTCTGAGGGAATTCAAACATTGAGACATGAGACCACAAAATGAAGTGAAGCAGTTCTCTCCACAGAAACTCAACTGTGAATAGGGTCCTATGATGCGTGCATGTGGGCAAAACTTGGAGCAGGTCACTAAATAATGAAACGCTGTTAAATCTTTTTAAGTTACTAAATAAATAATTTTCTTTCTTTACAGCAGATATCCTTCATTTCAAACAGAATTCCATTATGCAAGATACTCTGGTACACCGAAAACCAGGTAGAGAAACTTCTACTGAATAAATACTTGAAAACTTTAAAAGTGATTATTATATGAAAATCAGATAAAAATACATAAGAAAAAGTTAATCAAATAAGTGAAGAGAGAATTGAGAAGATAACAAGTTCTTTGGTCACCAAACTAGGGGCTACCTATACTGTGAGTGAAGAAAAAAGATTCTTTCTTGGCCGGGTACCGTGGCTCACGCCTGTAGTCCCAGCACTTTGGGACGCTGAGGCAGATGGACGGCTTGAGGCCAGGAGATCAAGACCAGCCTGGTCAACATAGTAAAACTCCGTCTCTACTAAAAATACAAAAATTAGCCAGGCATGCTGGCACATGCCTGTAATCCCAGGTACTTGGGAGACTGAGGCATGAAAATTGCTTGAACCCAGGAGGCAGGAGGTTGCAGTGAGCTGAGATTGCACCACTGTACTCTAGCATGGGCCCCAGAGCAAGACCCTGACTCCAGGAAAAAAAAAAAAAAAAGTCTTCCTTCCTTCTATCTTTCTATTATTATGGATTTCCTTGCAAAGCAAAATCTCAGTGCATTTAAAATTTTCCCAGACAGCTCTGCTGCGAATTCACTACCTGTTCTAGAGCTTTCTTTCTCAAGGTACATGGGCATGTGAGGTAGAGCCTAGCCCCTGGGGAAGGCCCTCAGCTTCACTGTTCTTATGGAGACATAAGCAGGCCCTCAGTCAAAGAGGCAAAAGTGTTAAGCAAGGCACCAAATAAGAAGCCTCCAGAGCAATTTGGTGCCATACGCTGTGTGCTCTGCTTTCAGTAACTGCTGTTGATATGGTCTGGCTGTGTCCCCACTCAAATCTCATCTTGAACTGTAGCTTCTATAATCCCCTCGTGTCGTGGGAGGCACTCAGTGGGAGGTAACTGAATCATGAGAGTGAGTTTTTGCAGTGCTGTTCTCATGACAGTGAATAAGTCTCACGAGATCTGATAGTTTTATAAAGGGCTGTTCCCCGGCACACACTCTCTTGCCTGTCACCATGTAAGCTGTGCCTTTGCTCCTCTTTCACCTTCCACCATGATTGTGAAGCCTCCCCAGCCATGTGGAACTGTGAGTCCATTAAACCTCTTTTTAAAGCTTTATAAATTACCCAGTCTCGGGTACTTCTTCACAGCAGTATGAAAATGGACTAATACAGCTACTGAATAAATACTTCTTTTTGATGATAACGTGCTTTCAAAAGGAACCTCAAGGAGCAGGTGTTTTTTTGACCCCTTTCCAAATCATAAATTTTTCTGCTGGAAGAAACCCTCGAGGTCATCTGGTGCCATCCTGTCACTCTGCAAACAAGATCCTGAGGTTCAGAAAAGTTCAATGACTCACTCAGGTCTGGCTAGATAGTGTGCAACTAGGATTCCAGTCTCCAAACCCTATCCAATTCTATTCCAAATACGTATTTTCTGCCTCTTACTTGCTTATTCCAGATGCACGTAACTCTACACAAATCTTGACTTGGACTTTCCTCTCATCCTGTCATCCATGAAAACTGTTAAATTCTACTTGCCGCACATACAGAAGGCTCTTTATTAGATCACTTAAATTCTTCCTGCTCCCTAATTCCCCTCCTTTCCTATGAGCCCTCCCACCATAATAAGAACATTAACAGGACTTAAATTTCATAAAAGAGCTCCTAATCAGTGGAGTCTCCTCAAAATGTCCATATATTTAACTTCAAAATACTAAATTGTGTTCTTACTTTAATGGAGAGAATATACAGTTTTAGAAAACTTTGAAAAACTAGATTTATATTCTATTCTCTACTCCTTAACCTTTAAGAAGGCCATCAATAATGGCCATTCATTCAACAGAAATATCCTTAGAGGAAAGACTATTAATGAATGATTGGGTGAAATAAATGTCCAAGTAAATAATTTTTATTTACACGTTAACTTCATTCAATAGTTATTGTTCTTCAGAGTACAGTAAAATAAGAAATTAAAATTTTTTTTTAGTTTAACCAAATATTTATAACATCTCACCTCTAATTCCTCAGCCTGTTCTGCATTATCATCTTCTGAGCCACTGGTTTTAGGCAAATAAGTCATTTTTAGTCTCAGATAACCTTTAACTCTTGATTTGTGACTGTAGAAAAGAAAATAAATATTCATAAAACTTTAACACCAGGGAGAAAAGTATTCAATTAATAAGAGTTTAATGAACACCCACTAGGTACCAGGGGGTCTACAAAGGGAGGTTCAAAAACAAGTTCCAGGGCAGAAGATATCCAGGGAAAGGAATAGAAGGTGGAGAAAAGGGAAACATATATAAATAAATAATTGTTATGCCACAAAGATGATGCTAAGGAAGTTTAAGTGAACCATCAGAGACAATGTCAAAGAGAAGCTGGTCTTTGGGTTGGGATTAGGAGATTGGGGAGGATTCTTATCTGTGGCAATAGAGGAAAAGGCATTATGAGTGGAGAAAAGGGCAAGATCCAGGAAACAGGTGGGAAACTGCGGGTGCAATTAAGGAAATGGCAGTAGTTGAGTTTGGCTGGATTACAGGATATGTTAAGGGAACTACAGGAGGTTGGGATGGTCCAGAGGTCAGGCAAAATCAGACAACTTCAGACTTTATTTTGCATATTTTGGTAAATCACTGAGAATTTGGGGGATAGAGAAAGGTATCCTCAGAGATGTGCTTTAGGGATACTAATCTGGCCATATTTTTTTGGATGACAGAAGAGTAGAGGGCAAGGCTTGATAAGTGTCTGAAACCTGCTACATCTCTTTGGCAGCTGTTTGAATCTGTCACACATTAATTTACCTAATCTATTTTTATATTGTATCACCTCTTTGAATAATTAGTTGTCTAAGCTAAAGGCTGCTGCTTGCTGTAGTAATATTTTAAATCTTTTGAAAAACCTGTCTTTCACAAGCTGCTGCTGCTGCTTTTTTTTTTTTTCAGACAGCATCTCCCTCTGTCGCTCAGGCTGGAGTGCAGTGGCTCAATCACGGTTCACTGCAGCCTTGACCTCCCAGGCTCAGGTGATCTTCCCACCTTAGCCTCCCAAATAACTGGGACTACAGGTATGCGCCACCACGCCCAGTTAATTTTTGTATTTTTTTTGTAGAGACAGGGTTTTGCATGTTGCCCAGGCTGGTCTGGAATTCTTGGGCTCAAGCAATCCACCCACCTCAGCCTCCCAAAGTGCTGCGATTACAGTGCTTTCATAAGCTTCTAATTTAAGGCTTAATTCTATCTACTGCCCTCATCAATTCTAGCATCCTATGATTTACTTAAGAAATCCTTGCTTGTCTCAGCTCTCTCTATAGATTTTTTTGGAGATGATTTTTACAGAGATCAGATATGTAGCAATTACCCTTTGTCTTTCTAGACAAGAGTCCTAATCTTTTTATTCTGTCTTCAAGAGATTACCTACCCCCACTCCCAAGCCTCCCCTAATCTTTTTAGCTCTTCTCTGTATAGTTTTCATGAATTTGGCACATTCAGTGTATCCTTTCCCGAGTAGTCAGTGAAATCCCCGATGCTTATTTCCAAGGCTGCTAATGTGGCTTGTGTCTCCATACTGAAGGAGATGTGAACATTCTGACTTGTGGCTATAAAAGATGGATACAGAAAATGTGCTCAGATAATGTTTTGCTGAAAAGTTTCTCTACAATTGTATGTTTCATGTCTTCTCAATTAGAAAAGAAGCCTCAAGGTTTTGACTTAATGGGGCTCAAACAAATTTAGGAATGTAGTCGTACATTTTCTATCTGAATAAAGTTCTTTCTACACTTGCAATAATATTCATTGCAGACAGAAGAAGCAAATTGTATTTTTTAAAGATAAAGAAGCTAGAAAGCATGTGACAAATTGAAAAGCAGGCTTCTAGGACAATCAAATAAGAAAAAACAATTTAGTCATTCCTGATATGCAGATGTCACAATCAGTCTAAAATTAAAAGACGAAAGATTTACATTCCAGACATCTACAGAAATTAAATGTGACTTCCTTTATAAAGTAAATATTAACAGTCAGTGAGCACTCCTTTTCATTTTGTTTTAATATTTATATTACAAACAGTAACTTAAAAACATCACTTTAAGTGAAAAATTTTACTAAGTTCCAATAGTACCTTTTCAAATGCATTTTATAGTTTAAGAAACAAGACAAATACTGTTGCTTTCACAGATGTCCTTTCTCTGCTTTAGTTTGACCTTTTTGAGAGTAAATCCACACACATGTTTCGACTAGATTTTACTTGTCAATGTGGTATAGAAGATCAAAAGGAGTTCTGGTTACAGCTTACATTTTTATTGACAAACATCAAGTAACTTTGGGAAAATGGAATTATAAGCATGCTATTTGGGTTTTAAATTCCAGTCTTATGTTATTTTCTCTAAATATTTGAGTCTTCTGAAATACTTTTTAAAGTATACAAAATATAGTTAGGTTTTTCTGAAACTGGCTTTGTGCACGTCGAGTTGGATAATGGTTTTAGATGAATTCATGTTTGTGATTTTTTAAAGCACAGTATGACAATATGACATAAACTTTAAGACAAAAAATAAATATAAAATAATGACAAATTTTAGCCTTCTGGTCTGATAAGTATTAGAAGGACAAATCTTTCCCAAAGGGGTGTGATCACTTTCTGTATTTTCAGAGTGTTTTGCAATGTGCATATAGTACTTTTAATCAGAAATAGCAATGAAGTTTTAAAAATAATAATAATATTTAGAAGTAGCTTATTTACAGAGGTTTAAATCCTGAATTTCTAATGAGGCTACTGTAAGGTGTAAAGAAGAGATAAAAAATTTGATATGCTATTATTTTATACTTACTGACCTTCTTGGGTGAAGAATAAAATCCTTAAATGTATATGGTCTCTCCAATCTTGGATTTTCTGTCTAGAATAAAATAGTGGGTTTTCAAAATATATCTATAACACCAAAAGCATGTACTTTTCAAGAATACTCATGAACTATCACCTACGGCATAATTTAAGTTGGAAGTGAGAAAAAAAAGTAGCTTTAGTTTATTAAATGCTAACTTGACAGCGCTTTTGCTTTCCTGCCCAAGAGGAATTGCAGCCGGCATCACAAGTCATATGAAAACTAGCTGAGCAGGCGGGTTGTGGAGCCAAAGGGAGGGCAGAAGACAATAAGCAGAAAAACAATATAGAGTGGTTACTATGTTGACATCCCAAAACAGTATGGACTATGCACATGTCTGCAGGCTGGCTTGGTTAAAGCATGGAGATAATTCTAGGAGACCAAAAAAGTCAATAGCCTGGAAAGTAAGACTAGATTAAATATATTACTGAAAGCTTATGGTCCTGCACCCTGTTTAAAAAAAAAAAAAAAAGATTATGCTCTGGAAAGACTGTAGAGAGCTAATTAATATAACTCAAAAGACTGAAAAAGAAGTATTTTTTCTCTTTCTTTAAAATTCAGCAGCTGTTAGTTTTTATTATTCTTCTCTGATGTTTTGTATTGTTAACTACCCAGTCTGCCTTGAAACTCTTTTCTTAAATTCTCATGACATTATTTTACTTGGTTCTCTTCCTGTTTCCCCTTGTCTGTCTTCTCTTTCTTTTCTGATCCACTCATGTTGACTGAGAGTCAATGGCTGGCCCTCCGTTCTTATCTGTTTTATCAGGAAAATCCATTATTTTCAGAGATTCTGCTGTTGCCTGGACAGTGATAACACTTAATCTTTCTAGTTCCTTTTCCCTACATAACTGATTTTTATCTCTCTGTCAGTAGTCTACTTTAAACTTTCATTTTCTTTGTTTCCTATCAAAACTCTGTCCAACAGTAAATTTTTTGCATTTCAAAACAAAATGAGTTTTCTTCCTCACTTTTCTATATGAGATGCCACTCTTATCTTGCAAGTTCAACTTGTATTATCTTTACTTCTTATTTTCTTAAGCCTCCATGTCAGACATGTGATTCAATAATGTTCTATTTTGCAATGTTTCCTGAATCTGTTTTCCTCCTTGCTATATTCTTAGTCCTGATTCTCAGTGTTTTATGTTTCTATTGTCATAAACTACCTTAGTTTTCTTCTGAGAGCTTAGGCACTCCTCATTCTAGTTATTCAGCAGAATATTTTCAAACTAATCTTTTTTACACAATGTTTTCACAATGCCAACAAACATCAGAAGTTCTCTATTTCTCACTGGGGTTCATGTATGGAAATCTTAAAGAGAAAATGTAAACAGAAAACTGAAATGAGTTTTTTAGAAAAACGGTATGTTTAATAAATAAAAGTATACATGTGATAAATCAATTATTTACATTAACTATATTGTATATATGTAAGTATTTATTAAATTAAAAACATAAATACAAAAGGAAAATCATGGGCACCTATACCAACCGGTAATGGATAAAGTGGAACATCCACTTGACCTAGGAAATCATCTCTTGTCTATAAGAGAAATAAGAAAAAATATGATTAGTAAGATGCTCAATTCCTTTAGAAGATTTTGATGAGACAGTGCCACCATTCACAGAAAATGTAGAATTTTTTAAATTCAATCCTATGCAGCATCAATGGAAAATAAAAAGCAATGTGTTACAACTTCTGGTAATGGCAGAGTAGCATACATTAGATTAATCCTTCTGCAGGTAACCATTATATTCTGTGACAAAATACTAAAAGAGCTATTTGAAAGTACAACAGAATAACCCAAAACAAGCAGAAACTGGAGAGACGTCAATCCTTGAAAGAAGGAACTACACGAGGTAGGATTCAGTATTTACATGGCTTTTCCTCTAGTAGTATTCCACAGTCCACATAATGCAGACAAGCCTAGAACTTAAGCTGAAATCTGCACTATTACTGGCTTGAGGAGTCAGAAGGCCTAGTTTGGGGTTGACAGCATATCTAGAAAAAGAGGAGAAAAATCTCAGAAAAAAAGAAGCCACCAGAGTTCTTCCAAATCTATATATAAACCCTTACCCACATCCCTAGTTTTACCCTGAACTGAACAGGTGAAAGTCAACAGCTGGAAGATTGAGAGGGCTCAGCATTGATTTCAGTTGATGTTCACCAAAAGGGAAGCAGAATTTGGAGTTCAGCTATGTTAACTTGCTGGAACAAAAATCAACACTGGGCACGGTGGCTCACACCTGTAATCTCAGCACTTTCGGAGACCGAGGTGGGCAGATCACCTGAGGTCAGGAGTTCTAGAGACCAGCCTGGCCAACATGGTGAAGAAACCTCATCTCTACGAAAAATACAAAAATTAGCCAGGTGTGGTGGCACATGCCTGTAATCGCAGCTACTTGAGAGGCTGAGGCAGGAGAATGGCTTAAACCCAGGAGGCAGATGTTGTAGTGAGACGGGACCGTGCCACCGAACTCCAGCTTGGGTGACAGAGTAAGACACCATCTCAGGAAAAAGAAAGAAAAGAGAAGAGAAGAGAAGAGAAGAGGAAAGAGAAGAGAAAAAATCAACACACCTCAGGCAAATATAGTAAAATTCACTGTCTCTGTTTGTTACTATATTCACTGTCCAGCCTACAATAAAAAAATCACTAGACATGCAAAGAAAAAAAAAATATGACCCAGTATCAAGAGAAAAAGTAATTAACAGAAATCAGTCACAAGATGACGCAGATCATGGAATAAGCAGACAGGGAAAATAAAGCAGCTATTATAAAGATGTTCAAAGGACTTAAAAGAAAAATAAGGTCATAATGAATGAAAAGATGGGAAATCTCAGCAGTAAAAGGGAAACTAAAAATGAATCAAATGCACGTTTTTATTTTATTTCATTTTATTTTTGAGACAGAGTCTTGCTCTGTCCCCCAGGCTGGAGTGCCGTGGTGCAATCACGGTTAACTGCAACCTCCACCTCCTGGGTTCAAGTGATTCTCTTGTCTCAGCCACCCAAGTAGCTGAGATTACAGGCATGTACCATGCACCACCATGCCTGGCAGATTTTTGTATTTTCAGTAGAGACAGGGTTTCACCATGTTGACTAGTCTGGTCTCAAACTCCTGACCTCAGGTGATCCGCCTGCCTCAGCCTCCCAAAGTGCTGGGATTACAGGTGTTAACCACCACGCCTGGCCAAATGTATTTTAGAACTGAAAAATATAATACATGAAATAAAAAAATTCACTAGATGGGTTTAAAAGATGATGGAAGATGACTGGAGAAAAGTATCATGAACTTGAAGATACAGAGACAGAATTTATCTAATATGAAAAATAAAGGGAACTTGCAGAAAAATTTCAAGCATTCTGACATATGTGTGACTGGAGTTCCATAAAAGGGGATGGGTAATAGGGCAGAAAAATATTTGGGGGAAAAAACAGCCAAAATATTCACACATTTAGAAAAACACAAGCTGAGACAGTCAATAAAGTCAGTGAACTGAAGCAGGATCAACATAAAGAAAAATGGGTAGGCACATCATTGTTAAATGCTGAAAACAAAAAAGATAAACAAAATCTTGAAAGCAGCCTAATAAAAACAATACATTACACACAGGAGAATAAGAATACAGATAATGGTTGACTTCTCATCAAAAATAATGGAAGCCAGAAGACAACTGAATGATATCTGTAAGTGCTGAAATGAAAAATGTACCAAGAATTCTATATCTAGCAAAAACTATCCATCAAAAAGGGAAGGAAAATCAAGATACTATTGGATAAAGTTGAGATAATTTGTCATCAGCAGACAAATTGTTGGCACTACAGAATATGCTACAGGAAGTTCTTCAGGCTGAGGATAAGTGGCACCAGATAGAAGTTCAGATCTAAAGAGAGTAGTAAAGAGTACCGGAAAATGGTAAACATGTGGGTAAGGTTTTTTGTTTTTTTTTTTAAGGTACCTTCTCAATCTTTGTTTAAAATACATGTAGATGTAATACAAATGACAGCATTGCGCACAAGATAGGTGGAATAATCAAATCTATATTGTTGCAAGATTTACATTTTATATAAAGTGGTATGATTGATATGTTAATCATTAATTGACTGCAGAGCTACAAAGCACAGAGAAGAGTTAAAATGGAATATTGCAAATATTTGACTAACTCAAAATAAGGCAGGAAAAGAGAAACAAAGAAACAGATGAGATGAACAGAAATAAACTGCACATTCTGAGAGCTAAATCCAGCCATATAAATTATGACAAACAGTCCAATGAAAGACACAGATTGTCAAGCTGAATAAAAATGCAAAACCTAATCATATGTTGCCTATAAAAGACATCTATCATTATTATTTAAAAATATTTTATTAAATATTTTTCTTTTTTTCACTTTTTTGCTTTTTTTTTTTATGAAGAGATGGGGTCTTGCCATCTTATGCAGGATGGTCTCAAATCCTAGGCTCAAGTGAGTCTCCTGCCTTGGTGTTTCAAAGTGCTGGGATTACACGTGTCAGTCACTGTGTCCAGTCAACTTCCCATTTTAAAATAATTTCAGATTTAAAAAAATTGCAAAAATACTGCGAGAGAATCCTCATATACTTTTCACCCAGATCCCCCAAATGTTAACATCTTAAATAACTATATTACAATGATCAAAACCAGAAATACTATTAACTGCTCTACACACTTGATTCAAAATTCACCAGTTGTCTGCCTAATTTTAGTCCAGGGTCCAATTCAGATTCACATATTGCATTTGGTAGTCCTGTCTCCTTAGCTTCTCTTCTTTTAATCTAGAAAGTACCTTAGTCTTTCTTTGTCTTTTATAATCTTGACATTTTTGAGCAGTACTGACTAGTTATAGAACATCCTTCTAAGATTTCTTCATGGTTGACTTTAGATTATGTATTTTTTGCAAGAATAGCATAAAGGTGATGCTTGTGCCCTTCTCAGCACATCATATCAGGAGGCACATGATACTGATTTGTTGTATTGCAATGATATTAACACTTCAATCATTTGGTTAAGGTGCTGTCTTCCATGGTTCTCAATATCTTCCCCTTTGTAATTAACAGTTTCTTGTAGGAAAAGCCTTTGAGGATACGTAAATAACCTATTTCTCATCATACTTTTTCTCACAAACTTTAGCATCCATTGATGATTCTTGCCTGCAACAATTATTACTGTGGTGCTTGCCAAATGTTGACTTTCTATTTCTACTATTTCTATTTTATATTAATTAATTATAATTCTGCTGAAATAAAGAATTTTCCCTTCCTCCCATTTATACATTCAGCCACTAATTTGTATTATCATAGGCTCATTGATATTTATTTTTTATTATCTTATAAGATATAATTCATTATTGTCAATTATTTTTTTACTCAAATTGTCCCAGATATGGTCATTGAGAGTCACGTCAGGTTAGTTTTTGTACACTTCTGATATCTTCTCAATTTTTTTGTGTATTTCCTTACTTTTTGGCACCACAAAATGTTTCAGGTTCAGCATATACTTTTCTTATCCCTGCTCTACAATCAACCACTTCTCCAGAGAACTCTGATAAATTTTACTGGATAATCAGATTTAGATATAAAGATCTGGGTTCAAGGTGCTTGTCACTGTTAGGCTCAAGAGATGAACTTTAAATGTAAATACACAGATAAATTGAAAATAAAGGTATAGAAAAAATAATCAGGTATACAGTAAGTATAAGTGGCTATAATAATATCAGAAATTAGACTTCAAGATGAGGAGTATTGCCACAAATAAAAAGAAACATTTTATAATAATAAAGAGATCAATTTATAAAATATTACTATAAGTCAATAATATGAATCAATAATAAACAGAAAAACTATCCAATTAAAATGGGCATAAGACCTGAACAGATATTTCAAACAAGAAGATAAATAAATGATAAATATTACTCACTTATACAGTTAAACATATACCAGTATATGACCAAGACATTCTACTCCTTGTATTTTCTTAAGAGAATAAAAACAAATATCCTCTAAAATATACTCAAGAATGTTCACAGAATTTCATTCATAATAGCCTAAACTGGAAATAACTCAAATGTCCTTTGAAAGATGAAACTGTGGTATATGCAATTAGTAGAATTACTCAGCAATGGAATGAAATGAATGGATATACAAAATAACACAGATAAATCTCAAAGAAAAGTGTTTTTCTGTTTGCTTGTTTTGTTTTCTTGAGATGGAGTTTTGCTCTTGTCGCCCAGGCTGGAGTGCAAAGGCGCGTTCTTTGCTCACTGCAACCTCTGCCTCCCTAGTTCAAGTGATTCTCCTGCCTCAGCCTCCCGAGCAACTGAGATTACAGGCGTGTGCCACCACATCCAGCTAATTTTTTGTATTATTAGTAAAGACAGGTTTTACTATGTTGGCCAGGCTAAGTCTCGAACTCCTGACCCCAGGTGATCCACCCACCTTGGCCTCCCAAAGTGCTGGGATTATAGGTGTGAGCCACGACACCTGGCCAGAAGAGTTTAATTATAAAAAGAAGATACCAAAGAGTA